CGCAGGCACCTTAAGTTGAGTAATAAGATTTTGACATTCATATAGTTTGAAGGTGATTAACTTGATTTGATTCGAAATTGTCGTCTGGAGGGATTCTGCTAAGAGCGTCTGTGACATGCGAAAGTGCTTTACACTCCAGATGATAGCCAATAACTCTCGTTCAACAGTATTATAGTTTGATTCGGCTCAATTGAGGATACGACTAGCGTATGAGCCAAGAAAGATTTTATATCTTTAGGAGATTTAGGAATAGGGTATTTGGGCACGGCTCGACTTTTTTGGGATCGGCTTTGACATCATCGTCAGTGATATGACCTAAATATATGACTTCCTTTCGCAAGAATTCGCATTTATGAGGTTGGATCTTGACATTATAGCCAGATAATCTCTGAAACACTCGTCGTTTATTATGATTTTCGAGAGTGACCTCTCGGTGTTGAAAAAGCTGTTTTGTCAGCGTCTTTCGGAGATATCTTGATTTGATGGAACCCTGATGTTAAATATATAATTGAGAAGTATTTTCAATGGCCCAATTGGTCTAAAATATCTGTAATATTCGAAAGAGCAAAAGAATCACAGATGATAATTTCATAGAGTCGCCTGTAATCTATTACTATTCTCCATATTTTGTTTCCGGAAGAATCGTTTTTTTTTTAGGGAAAATCCAAACGAGAAAGTTCCAGGGAGAAGTGGAAGGTTCTATAATTTGGTCTATTTGTTTGTTTCTTCTTTATGTATTTCAGGATATCTATAGGGTTTTGTATTAATAGGAGGTGTTGATTTCATCACTAATTTGAGATAGTCGTTCTGAGAGTTTTCTGGGACCCGGAACACCTAGGATTGAGAAGAACTTCGGAGTCTTTAATTAACGATTTGGGAATTGAATTTGAAATGTTTAAGGAAATTTGATTTTCGATGTGACTTAGGCAAATATATTCTGAATTATTTATTTGAAGTTTATTAGTGTTATAGTTGATTTCGCATTTTTTTTTTTTATAAAATCGATTCCGATAAGACCGAGGGAATGGGACATGAGTCTGGAAGGACATGGAAACAATGTTCAATTAATTTATTATTTAAATTTAAAGAGAGGTAAATATAAGCGAGAGTTTTTTGCCGATTCGCGGTATTATTCATACGTTTTAAAGTAATTGGTTTATCTTCATGGCATGGTATATCGTCCCGTAATTTACCTAACTTTACGAGCGAAATATCTGCTCCAGTATCTAATAAAAAAGAGTTTGGATTTCCTAGAAGACCGATAATTGGAACTTTAACATGAGTAGTGACAGCTGAATTGATTATTGATAGGCGACTTTTAAAAGATGGGCATGTCTCGACACTGTCGCTGATTGTCGAGGGCCCTGCTAATTTAAATGATTATTGTTTTTTGAATTCTTATTAGTTTGTTGATTAGAAGATTGTTGCTCCGTACTGTGTTTTCTCCGATTATTATTGTACTGTCTTTTCCTACATTCATTAATTAAATGATACCTACAAATTTTCGATTTTGAGAACTGTTACTTCCAATTTGCGAATTTTTCTGAGAAAAATGTCTGATATTTGGATTTTGCGGAGAATGTTAATTTAAATCAGTGTACTCATTATTGATAACGTTATTTTAGTTTAATACCTCCCTGTGTTCGTAAATTCACAAAAGGTTATGGGCCCAAAACCACGCAAGACGTTGGCTGGCGAAAGGTAGATAGAGAAAATTCGAAAAAGTTTTTTTTGAACACGTGTAATAAACTAGTACGGGCAAAATGAATACGTCGTCGGTGGTATTTCCACAATTAAATGCACAGAATTATAATAATGGAGGTTTAGAGTTAAAGCATTCCTGGAGGAGAACCAGATTGAATATACATTGCAGAAAGTATCAAATTTTTCTGCAGAAAAAGAGAAAACAGATTTTAAAATAAGGGATGCAAAGGCAAACAGCTTGATATAATTAAAGATTCAACTACAGCGAAGCATATGTTAAAAGCATTAGAAGATGTATTTCAGAGGAAAAGTGTATTTTCGAAGTTGACTTTAAAGAAGAAGTTGCTAGCAAAAAAATGTAAAAGGAAAGAAAAATTAGAGGATCATTTTTTGAAATTGAAAAACCGAAGAATAGGATAAGGTGTGCCAATTACTTTTGTCTCTTAATGAGGACTGTGATCCTGTAATAACGGCGGGCGATTGAAACATTAAACACAGATGTAACAATGGATTTTGTCAAATCGAGATTGTTGGACGAAGAATTAAAAATGAAATAAAAAAATGGAAATAATAGTAGAAATGATAATGAAGTTACATTCAAAGCAAGCCAATATGTGTGTTATAAATGTGGCAAACAAGGTCACAAATTTTTTGAGTGTTTACAGAATAGGCATAGAGATAGAGGTAGATTTGCTACAAATTACAGATGTTCACGTCGAGGTAATCGTAGGTATAGTGTGAATGCAAGTGAGCAGACAGTTAAGGAAAGTGATAAACAAGTCGCATTTATTGCATTAGTGTGAGCTTGAATGACAACATAAACAGTTTTATTTTGGACTCTGGAGCTACTGTTTTAAAATAATATTTGAAACTGATAAAACAGGTAGAAAAGATGCAAAAATAATACATAACAATGTTACATTTTATTGTGAAAGTTTTAATAATTTATTTTTGATTGTTATAAATTTAAAAACTGAAAATTGTTATAAAGTAATACAAGATAATGCAGGAAATATTTGTCATAAGAGACTAGGACATTTAAATTGTCTAAAACAGTTAAGTTTACCTTATAGTGATGAAATTTGTAGTAATTGTGTGGAAGGTAAAAGTACTAGAAAAACTTTTTATCAATGTACTAGAAAAACTACTCGGATTGGTCAACTTATTCATACAGACATTGCAAGGCCAGTGGCAACTCCATCTTTAGAAGGTCATAGGTACTTTCAGGTTTTACTTGATGACTATTCACATTTTTTGGTAGTCAAATTGTTAAAATCTAAAGATGAGGCTGCTCAAAACGTTATTGATTTTATTGAGCTAATAAAAATACAACAGGGTCAAAAAACATAAAAAAATAGATGTCATAATGGTGGTGAATTTTCTTCAAATTATTTCAAACAGTATTCTAACCGCGTATGAACCGAACTTTGTTAGACAAAGTAAGAACTAAATTTGCTGAAACAAATTTACAAAAGCAAATAGTGGTGTTCCTCCCTCGACAAGATGGTATCAAAATAACAATTTATCAAAATTAAGAGTTTTCGGGAGTAAGACATGGTCAGTTGTTTTACCAAAAGCAAATAAATTAAAGAAACGTGCAAAATTGTGTATTATGGCTGGATATGGTTTAAATGAATACAGGCTTTGAGATTTTGAGAAGAAAGAGATTATATATTCAAGAGACGTTACATTTGCTGAAAATCAGACAAATTACAATCAGTTAATAGAAGAAGTCAAAGACAAAAAATGAAGAAAATAATAATAAGAGATGAAGAAAATTACAATAAAGAGACAGAAACAGACGAAAATGAAGTAGGTAGAATAAATGAATCAGAAGATGATAATGATGGAATAGAGTCAGGAAGTTTAAATGATAAAGACAGAACTGTAACAAAAACTGAGACATCAAGACATGGAAGAAAGATAAACACACCAAAACATCTTAGTGAGCGTTGCGAAAAATTGCCGACATTTCTAAAAATTTAACAGTGAACGAATTGAAAAAATCTTTAATGGTTTTATTGAGACTAGCGAAATTGCAAGATTTTAACACGGAAATATTTGAATTTAAACAAGAAAAGGTTGTACACAAAAATAGCAAACTGGGAAATTTAAATCCTTTCCTCGACTCAAATAATTTAATTAGAGTTGGCGGACGTTTATTAAATTCACAGCATAATTCAGATAAAAAATATCCAGTGATCCTCCCATATAAAAACAAATTAACTGATCTCTTACTGTCCCATGAATATTTAAAAAATTTTCACACGGGAACTCAAAATTTATTATCTGTAGTGCGTTTAAAGTATTGGCATGTAAACGGAAAAAATGAGATAAAAAGGGTTGTGCGATCTTGCGTACGCTGTTTTTTTGAAAATTTTTGAGCATTTAATGGGTCATTTACCACACTCGCGTGTTACACCGACAAGGGTTTTTTCGAAATGCGGAATTGATTACGCAGGACCCGTATTTTTAAAGGTAAGTACACTTCGTAAGGCTCGAACGGTGAAACCTAATATCTGTGTGTTTGTAGGTTTTGCTGTACAAGCGGTACATATTGAATTAGTCAAAGACGTAGCTACAGAAAGTTTTCTGAACGCAGTCAAACCATTTATCTCAAGATGTGGCCGTCCTACAGACATATATTCGCATAATGTAAACTTTGTAGGCGCTAATAATCATTTTTTGAAGCTATATGACTTGTCAAAAAACAAACGGCATCAAAATAAGGTGACATCCCTTCTCGCAAAAGATCAAATCTTGTGGCATGTCATACCGGCAAAAAATGTGTAATAGGAAATGCAATTTTTTCGTTCCATGCATTGAATGCTCTGCTCGTGCAAATATAGGGTTGCCTCAAATCCAGCCCCCTCACTCCTTTCTCACGTGACATCGATGATTTGACACCCCTGACGCCAGCCCATTTTTTAATTGGGGACTCGTTTGCTACGACATATTGAACGCAAATCCAAATAGACTCTCAACATCTTCAGCAAATGTTGCAGAATTTTTGGTCTCATAGCTCAAGAGAGTACTTCTGTCAACTTCAAACACGTACCAAATGGATGTCCAAGTCATCGTGTGATCTTCAAGTTGGCTCCTCGGTTATTTTATTGGAAGACATCCTCCCTTGCGATGGCCTATGGCGAGAGTGACTGCACTACCTCCCGGACCAGACGGTGTTTTGAGAGTGGTTTCAGTGAGGCTACCTAGCGGTAATATTGTGAGACGCTCTCCAACCAAAATTTGTGTTTTACCTATCAATGACAGTGATTAGGACAAATTCAAAACCAGACAAATTGTTTTACAAAAATGTTTAGTTTTAATTTTCATATAGAAAACACATATATGTCAAATATAATGTTTAATAATTTTAAAAAGTCGACTTTTAAACGCGGGCAGCATGTTCGAACGTAAAACAAAGTTACGCGTGTAATTCGCTTTATTGATGAAAAGCTCCGTGTATGGACGCGCAGCTGAAGCAGATCGGGTAGGAATGGGTGTTACATAACACACCGCAAGAAGAAGTAATTCAGACATCTCCGCGTAAGGACGCACGTGACCTGAAATATCACGTTATAACAATTTGTTTTTATTAGTAAAATTTAAGTGTTTGGCAATTCCATGACTTTTCATTCACGACCGAGGCCACTGCTTCCCTGAACAAAAAACAGGGTGTTCCTTGGACGCTCTTACAACAACATTGACAAAATCTTTGAAAAGCACCATTTTACTAAAGTATTTTTGATTTTTTTTTTGTGTCTAGAATCTAAAATTGTTTCCCTATGCCTCCTCGTTCATTACGTATAGAACAGATTAAAAATAAAAATTACTTACCATTTATGCTTCATCATAAAAGTGACTTGTTTTCAGTTATAGATCAGTAAAAATTCACAAATAAGTTGACACATTTTTCACAGCCACAAGACTATCACATAAAAATTTACTTACTGCGATACAAAAATACTTTAAAATCTGCAGCATTGTGGATCTGACATCTGGACTCAGAGTCCTAATGCAGAGCAGCAAACTGCTCCACTCCTCGTGGTTCCATCAAAGTCTTTTTTTGCGTCGGTTCATCTTTCCTGGTGAAAAACTTTTCAAGTGATAAAAATAAAACAAACACTTAAAACATTAGCATTTTAGAAATTATTCCTACATTTATTTATGAAAGTAAACAACACCCAATAAAGTTAAAATATATATTATGCTCAGTGAACTTCTAATGTAAAAAAATATATTCTAATGTATTCCGCAAATGAAAAACTGTAAAGAACAAATTTTTAATTTTTAACAATATGAATGTCCTTAAGGGAAAAAAAAACATCTCCATTAGAAATTTATCGTAATCTTAAATCTAGAGTTTGTTTGTTTATGTCATCTGGAGCCTAAACTTTACTGAGTTCTGTAATTAGCTCGGTGGCAACACTTCCCACTTTCTTGTGTCACATAGTATGGATTTAGGTCAATACATTTGCTGTTGCACCAGGAAGTGTCTCGTTAACAAATAAGATTTTAATAGCTGGAAGTGGGTGTGTGGTAAAAGCTTCTTTAATTTGACTCGCAGGCCAGAACAATATCTTTTGGCATTTAGGTCTTTGTTTATTTGGTTAGCCAGCCAGTACTGGCTCTACAGTGCTTGTTTTGGAGTCCAAATGGTTGTTCAGGAATTATTTTTCTTTCATTTATTATTATTTTTAGCCTTTTAACAAACTCCTCAAAAACTTTGGAGAGCATAGGTAGTAAGATTAGAGCCCGCTAGGATGAAATTTTTTGTTTTCTCCTGGTCTTAAGAATCTTGATTTGGATTACTTTTCAGATACTAGGAAAGTGATTTTCGCGCAGTATTGCGTTGAACATGAATGTAATTAGTTCTAAACATTTCTCTGAGAGTTCTTGAAAAATTTTGCCAGAGATTAGATAGAATCCCGATGCTTTTTTAATATTAATTTCTTTCATTATTGTTTAACAGTAAATTTCTTAACGCGGTTCTATCTGAAAAGGCACGTCCAAGAAGTCTGTTATTTCTTTTTCTTCTTCAGATGATAGTTCAAAGGGAAGGGGTTTAAATGCGTTTTTTAGGTGTCTTGTTTCTCGTTTCTAGCCACTTATTGTCATTTTTAATGGGTGGATTGTGTTGCTGGGGCATTTTAAGTTGAGCTTTTGAATAGCTTTCAAATCTCTTGTCACAGTTGCGAGTTAGTCTTTTGTTACATTCCTAAGTTTTTTCTAATTATCTTCAGTTCTTGAGTGTTGATAGTGTCTACGCAGCTATCCTTTTTCTGCAAGTTTTTGCTTAATTGCGGGGGATACATCTATTTTCCTTCGGGTTTCCTCAGATTCAGAAGTTGCATAACTATCATTTATCATATCATAATAGAGAAGTTTTTCAAACTTTTGTACCTAGTTCTTTCGGCCTTCCAAATTTATCCTACACATGTACAGTATGGCTACATCATATATCTAACTTTGCTCAGCTAGGTATTTTTACATTACCTTTATATTTTTTTATCTAGAAAATCCAAACTTGTTTGCAACCAACTATAACTTGCATTCAGAAAATATGTTTATGCACCTAGAATGTTAACCCAAGTCATAGTTCAAATGAGGGAAGTTGAAACGTTCAAGGGTAGTGTTTATAGTTGTCTTCTTAAAAATGTTTCTATAATTTTAATTGTGAGAAGTTCCATTTTAATTGTATTTTAAACCAAACCTTGTATTGCTTGTGTCCAAATATTAATCTCACCCGTTGTGACATTGCTGTGCCATTATAGTATAATGATGTGGTTGACAATCAAGTATTATCATTAGTGAAATAATTGCAGCTAGAAATATACTTACGACGCCGAAAAAGGGAAGTATTGTTTTCTCTACACAGCCTATCCTCTTCTTCCTTCAGTTGCGCAAACATCATGTAAACTTCAGAAATTTAAAAACTGGGTTTGTAGGTGACTTTGGAGGATGATGTTGGGTGGGTTTCGGGGAAAGTTAGGTTAGGGTGGAGGATGGTCAGGTCAAATCCACCTTATTTTGGAGAAAAATATGTCAAGGTGGCTTTGGAGGGTCATCAAGTAAAAGTGGGTTTTGGGGAAAGTGATATAAAGATGGCTTTGGAGGGTCTTCAGGCGAAATTGGGATTTGGGGAAAGTGATATAAAGATGGCTTTGGAGGATCGTCAGGTGAAATTGGGCTTCTGGGAAAGTGATAAAAAGATGGCTTTGGAGGATCGTCACGTAAAAGTGGGTCTTGGGGAAAATTATGTAAAGATGGCTTTAGAGGGTCGTCAAGTGAAGATGGGTTTTGGGAAAAGTCATGTAAAGGTGGTTTTGGACGAGTCTTGAAGAAAATCAAAGAAGGTGGTTTCATTTCACGAAGATTTAATCGAAGTACTGGAGTAACCTTGGGAGGCCGAAAAAAAATAAGTGGAGGTGCTTCATTTTGGATTAGTAAAGGTTGTGCTTCAGAACTAGGAATAGGTAAAACTTTTTCATGCCGAACATCTAGGTATTCATCGAAATCGGCGACAAAGTGTTCTGCTTGCCTATACAAGAAATACTGTCCTTTAACATTGCCATGACCACTCCCCAAAATGAACTGTTTACCTGAGAAAATCTCCTATTGTGAAGCGACCATTCTCTAGATTGTTCCAGGCTTCATTCACACGGGAGTTAAAGACACTATTCTTTGTTGCAATCCTAAAAACTTGTTCTTGACGTTCCAACTGTTCCAATTCAAGTATTGCAATATTCTGAATCTCAATGAGATTTTCTACAATTGAAAGAGATAGTGTTTTATTTAACTCTTTTTCCTATAGTTAATCCATTTTAACCTATAGTTAACCATTCAGTTACTAGATTAAAACATAAAATTAAATTAAAATACCTATCAAGTCCCAAATTCTTGGATACCGAACCAGTCTGCTATTAAGTTGCTTATGGTAAGACTCAATCACATTATTGGTCTTGTATCGGTGCCGAAATACGCTAAAATGTCCTGGTGTGTCCCGCAGAATCCATTTCCTAACATAATTGTGAAACCTCCTAAATGTATCGTCCAGTCCTCCATTGTTTCCCTAAATAAAATGCATGCAATAAATAAAAGCGGATTATGGCGCAAAAAATTAACTAACCTGCAAAGAATTCAACGCCTCTTCAATCATCCCAGCAGGTAAAAGTGCTAATGCATAGTATTTCCGCAATAATTTAGTTCCATCCACATTTCCTTTTATTTCACGTACAATCCCCAGTGCCTTAGCTTTTTGAAATAAAGTCTGTAAAAATAATATTTTGTATTTTTATGACAAGGATATGCGTACAGTCCATTTGACATATTCTATATACTGTGGCATAAAAGCTATGCTACGGCCACTTTTCTAGCAAGATTAAATCACTTACATGTGAGATGTAGGGATAAAACTGATTTTGCATTAGTTTGTGATATCTGCCAGACCTACCGTTTGTCAGAACTTGCGTCTAAATCGTACATGGCTATTGTTGTGGGGACAGATCACTGTCAAGATCACAGCTGGGCGAAACAGGATTGCCGGATTTTAATATTCTTCATTTTTTCGTAGGATTTTATTGAAACATAACAAACACATGCGAAGTTTTTCTAACCTCTTACCATAAAACGCGCGAAAATACATCGCTTACGCAAAGAAAATGAAAATCTGACAACATAGCGCTTCCTGTCATACGTCACAATTCTATAGCCATGTAGATTTTGGCTGCAGGTGTTTGTCAGATATTTACAATAATTTTTGATTTTCTTGTGGAACACCATATAGTTTATATTTTTCGAATTTCTTTAGCAATTTGGTACATTATAATATTGATGCTATGATCTCATTTTGAAAAAATTATTTAAACTGGCAAAGACCACCTTTATCTTTATACACTCTACTGGGAATAACCAGTCATTTTTTTAATAGATGTCAAAAATATTCATTGAGGACTTTTCATAGTGTCACAAAATGTCAAATACCTAAAGCATTTTGATCTATTTATAACTTAATTATTAATTAACATTTACTACTGGTAAGGTATACAAAGCTAGAGATTTTTCTTTAACTCAGATGGACTCAAAGCATCATTTTTTTAGTAAACCATACTCTGAATTACTGAAGGAATCAAAAATATAAAATTATGAAATACTTGGCATTGCCTGCAAAAAAAAATTAAAACAGTGGGTCTCACAATGTGTCCTAAATCTGAGTAATTTAATACGAGAAGAAAAATGGTTGATACCAAACCAATTTTTGTAATAAAAATTTAAGACAGACCTGACGAAAATGAAAAAGCATCCCTTCAATGTTGCCTCTGGGTAACAGGCCCTTAAGGATGTGACAAGAGCTGCTTCATAGTCTGTAAAGATGGTCCTATTTATGAATGTGTTGAATGTTCTGGATAAGTAGGCAAAAACGGCATCATATAGGGCTCGTGTTTTCCTTTTCATAAAAATGTGAAAAATGGGAAAAGCCTACACAATCAAGAGTGAAATATTAAGATTCTTATTTTTTTTTTTTTCGGAGCAACTTACATGATCCACGCAAACTGCAAAAATTATTAAAATTTGTGAAAATCCTGGTCTTTTTGATACAACCTTGAAAGTCCCATCAATGAATGTATATTGTGACTCTCTAAAGTTTTGAAGGAACTGCTGATTCCCAAAAATAAGTGCCGAATGTCCAGCAGCCCTTACCAAACCTGAATAAAATACACCCCAACTGCATTTGCTATAGGCTGTTCACCTGCTGCCAGAACTCTAGCCAAATCTTCTAAGTTTTTAGGACTTTTTCGTCTTGTTGATTGTCTCCATCTCTGCATAGAGGAATAGACTTTCTTGAAAGGGACTACTAAGGCACCTTCTCGATTACTAAAATTACATTAACATAATTAAAATTTATTTATCCCTATATGAAGTGTATGATTTCAATGGTAGTGTATAATTATCGATTTTTACAAATATTTTTAATACTTTAGATTTCATTACTTTGTCGCAAGTCTCTCATATATATTCTTTAGATTTCCCTTTTCCCTTGTACATGCATCCCTCAAACGGCTCTTAAAATTCCTGCCTTGTATTTGGTCCTCCAAGTTTTCATGATTGTGTTGTCCATTTGTTAACATGAAAACTCCACTCTCTTCAATTTTTCCCGATGCTTGACATCTTGTTTGTCGGTACTTCGTACATCTGAGATATCTTTTGACATAAACAACATTAATTTGTACAATTACTTGAATATGTATTATTTATTAATGTACTTTTTTTTTAATCAAAAACAAGGATGCTACATTTTTTACAATAAACATGCAGGATGTCTTTTTTTGAGCTACTATAAAATAATAAATCATTTTTACCTTGTTCCATTACACCTCTTGCTTGTGTAATACATAAAACCATCGTGAAAAACAGTTTGTTGAGGGGTTCTTCTGCTCCTGTTCTCCATTCTACCCTATCAACCAAATGACTGTTTAAAAAGTAATAAAAGATAAAACATTTAAGAATAATTATTAAATTGTATAGCATTAATCGCTATGGGAATAAAAATTGCTTTGAAACAGTCTTCAGCTCAAGAAATCAACGGTCCTAGTTCTAACCACACAACCACAGAATACTAAGGTTGATTTGTTCTAACAATACATTTCAGTTAATTTATCTATCATTCGTAATTTGTTCTGTACGTCACCTGTGTCAACTGTTGGCGGGATTTCGTTTTTTGGCAATACGGGCCATAGATATAAGTTCAATTTTGCGTTTCACAAAAAATGTTGGGCTCGACTGCTAGGATCATTCGCCCATTGCCGACTTCCGTCGAGGATCTTCGCTTTTGGACATGGACCAACACGTACAAAGAAGACATATAACCAATATTTGCTCAACTAGCAAAAAACAATTTTGACCGATACCAAAAAAACCGACACCCCCCCGCTTCCACCGCGGACCATCCGGGCCCATCCGGCCTCCATACCGGCGTGAACGCTTAAAACAACGGGGCCGGCGGAACTTTTACACTTAAAACAAACACCAAACACTGCCGAAACAGAGTCACACAAATTGAAGACCGATACCAAAGGTTTTTCGAACGAATTCAGCGGATTCTGCTAGGAGCGGACGGAGGTTAGACCGCCGCGTGCAATGCTCCACCACAGAATCGGCCATAGATTCAATTCAATTCAATGATGCGTTTCACAGATAGCTGTTGGGCACGACTATAATTCATTTCAATTATGCGTTTCACAAAAAAAGTTGGGCTCGACTGCTAGGATCATTCGCCCATTGCCGACTTCCGTCGAGGATTTTCGCTTCTGGTCAAAGACCACCACGTACAAAGAAGAAAAATAACCAATAATTTGCTCAGCTAGCAAAAAATGATTCTGACCGATACCAAAAAAATCGGCTTCCCCCCGCTTCCACCGCGGACCATCTGGGCCCATCCGGCCTCCATACCGGCGTGAACAGGGAAAAACGACGGGGCCGACGACGATTATCACTTTAAAACATGCACTGAACACTAAAAACACTAACTCCACACAGTGGAAACCGATATCAAACTTTTGAGGACGAATACAAGGGATTCGGTCGGGAGCGAACGGAGGTTAAACCGCCGCGTGCAATGCTCCACCACAGAATTCGCCATAGATATAAATATAAAAATATTCAAGCATCATATATGGAAAAAGAACGTGTTACGCGATAACATTTTTTGGAAATATTTCGAAGGGTCTTACAGAGCTTCCTTCAAAAATGGAACCCTCCCAGATGACTTCGATGATATCATAAATGCATTTTTTAAAATTAATAGCACGAGAAGTAAAGAGAAGTGATTGAAAAAAATGATGTTACAAGAAAAAGTTTTGAGGGGAAATTTGGATGTAAAGGTAACATCAAAATCTGACAACGTTAGCATTTTTGAACTCTGCATGTTCGAAGAAGCATGGATTTTTTTTTTACTAAAAAAACTGTGTTGCCGCAGCTCAATAATTAATAGAAACTAAATTTTGAAATTATGGCACCTTACTAAATTACTGAAAGAAATACATAGGACATAAAAGTGGTAAATCTGACAACATGGCGGTTAGCTTTTGAATTTTATCGTTTCAACATTGCCAGTTTTAGAGATATTTAAGCATCTCGATACTTTTTACTAACCAGGTGTGTACAAAACGGTGTACACCTGACGTCGAAGGTATAGACGTGGTTTTTAGAATTAATAGATTTTTTTTTACTAAAAAATGTATTTTAAAAACGGTGTTACACAATAAAATTTGGAGGGGACATGTCGAAAGGTCTTGAAAGTTCCCTTCAAAAGCGAAACCCCCTAGCTCTCCAAATTATGTTGTTTAATGACATTTCTTGCAATTTTTAGTTTTCGTGAAAATATTGGTGCACACGCCAATATCCAAGCTTCACACACGTGGGTCTCAATGGTTACACAGGTTTGTTTTTTACATTTATAGTCTGTATCAATTCTCATCGTGTTGGCTTTGGCTTGAAAACACAATTTTAAAACGTTATGTTGTTTATTTAACTTTTACAACTGATCGTTAATAATTAATAGTAATTATATTAATATAACAACTGTAAAAACCACTGAAGTTCATGCGAACGGTATGTAAAACTTGTGGAAAACTTAAACTATAAAGGTTACTTTAATTAGCGACTAGTACACTAGATTTTAATTGTAGCTTATAACACGTATTATTTAAATTGTTTGATATATTGCATAACATTTTTCTGTGCATTAGTTTTTGGGTACATTTTTGCAAAACACTACCAATACATTCACTAAGACCGTCAAAATTCAAATCGTGCGGTAAAATCTCCGAAAACATGCGGATTGCGCCCACACCTGTACGGTAAAATCGCGGAAATATAAGAAGTGGTTCGCATCCGTGGGACGCGAAACTGAGGTGGTAAAATGTCGCTTCCCGCACGCGAGATCGGTGTGTTCCCAGGGCCCGTAATTTTACAGGCCGGGCCGCGCCGCACCGCGACGCGAAAACAGGCAGCGCGTGAATCAGAACGGGCTTCAGGCGGAATTCTTCCCACGGCGCGGCGTGTTTGTGCCCAAGTACCTTTTCAAAACAAATCAGCTGTCATTTTCATATAAATTAATAAATGTGTAAGTAATTTCGTTCGTCCACTCCATATTAACGCTTAAAAAACACCAAAACAACTTGTTGTAGAGCCACAAAAACAATGAAGATGTCCTTCTACCCCAATAACAACAGGTCTGCACAGGCATGAACGCGCCGCGCCGGTTCGCGCCTTTGAATTTACCGACTGGCTGCGGATCCGTCGTACCTCAGGCGACCATCTTCCTACGGCGTGTAGGGCCCTGCAAAAACATGGGCCGTGGGAAACCACCTTAATTAGGTAGTTTACAGACGGCAGTAGAAAAAAATTATACTTGCATGACAAGGCAGGGATGGGCCAGGTATATTACTTTCTTTGTGATTTATTTCTCGAGTGTTGACCATTTGTGGCAGTGTTGAATAATCGTTTTTGCTGTGCGTTTCAAAAAGTTGTTTTACGAGAATATAACAGTATAACAAACAAGTTATGAAAAACGTGACGAAAATCAACACGATGAAGACTGAGACGGACTATAAATGTACCTTGAACCTTCTGTTAATTTATAAGCTTTGTTATTTATGATGGTGTCTCTAAGCTAATGACCATAAATCATAAATCTTTTGTATTGTTTAGTTAATTTCACAAAGCTACCATCATTAATTGCTTATTTTAAAGTGTTTTTTCGTAACTATTTTTTCTTTGGACTCAAAATTATATGAAATAAAACACGTTTACGCCTAACTATTCATACCTAAATATCATAAATTGATTGGTTAAGCATACCATGAGGACGCAAGTAAGTAACAATTCGATTTATCAGTACTTTATTATGCCAAAGAAGCTTACCTAAAAAGATGGAGATATAAACTATAACACGAAACAATTTTTGACAAATTGAACACAAAGAAGGCATAAATGGCATTCGGACCGCTGCACCATAGTTAAAATTAAAAAAAAAATGGTTAGCATTAAAAGGGAATAGAAGATTCTAGCGGATGGCTATAAGGCCCGACTCATACAATTTTTGAATCTTAGCCGCTATATCGGGATTTTGTAGGTGATCCTGCAGAGCCTTTGGATCGTTCTGCATCTGTTCAAGAATCAACCGCATTGCCGGATCCCTGAGGATTGACTGCACCTCTGGATCTGCCATTGCCCTCTGTCTGATCTTTTCTGGATCGCGATCCAAGTTGGAATTTTCGATAGTGCAAGCTCGATAACCTAGTAAATAATGAATTTTTAGGTTAGTTAGGTAGTAACATGACAACTTCTTGCCAAATACTTTCAGTATATTAATATTTTTATTAAATCACTCTCCCCTGATTTTTGGAAATTGAATTATTTCAAACCTATTTTTAAAACTGCAATTAAAGGAGACGTCGGTCCCATATGAAAACTAATCCGTATTTCCAAATTTTTCGAAAAGATAGTTCCTGATTATTTCAAGACTATTTTCAGCTCAATAAAAATTGAGCAGTTTGGTTTTTTTCCTTTAACAAGAGGTCAACAGAATTGAATTTGGTTAGTTATGTTGACTATCGCGTGTCTTGGATAGAGTGGAGAGGTCAATCATAGTCATAGTCATTGCTCAGTAAATTGAAAGCATCTAGTCTTCAGGGGACTTATCTCCAGACTGGATAACTAGCTATTGAAATGAGGTGGCTCTTACTTAATGAAAATCCATTTAACACAACACAATTAAATTAGAAAAAAAATATTTTTTTTGTATGTATGTATTTGATAAAGGAACGGTATTACCGAAACAGCTAATTCTAATTTAATGGTGATACTTTTTACAAAACTTTTGGATTCCTCCTGCGTCGGTTTTTGCTGAGTCGAAATTGCTGACGTTTCGCCAATCATCCTGTTTGCTTTTTCAGAGCTTAACTGAAACTGATGAAGCGCACAGGATGATTGGCGAAACGTCAGCAATTTCGATTCAGCAAAAACCGACGCATAAGGAATCCAGAAGTTTTGTAAAAAGTATTACAGTAACCTGTGGAAGTTTCTTTGAAAAATTAATTGTGATATCTAACTACCTAACTGATAGATTTCAAGTTGTGAAGATAAACTATTTTAAATATTCTAGATTCTTATAGTTTGTTGGTGATCTAAAATGTCATGTCGCTATTTACAATCAGGATAATTGTCTTAAACTTCAATCTGACCTTACTCTATACTTCACAAAACACAATACAACTGTGTTCAGCTATTGCATAAATAAATCTGCCTTGACTTAGGTCTCAAACATCAGTGATCTTGGAGTGATAGACTCCACATTTTATTTGTTACTCTCATCGAGGCATAGTTTCCAGAGCGCTAAGTATGGTCGGCTTCATAAAACGATCAACATCAGACTTCACAAGTACACTGTTGCAGATAGATAGATAGATAGATAGATAGATATTTATTTCGCTTTTCGATACTACATATAACACATATATGGGTATATTAAGCACGTCACATCACATTAAAATACAGTGTTTAAACAATACATTTAAAAAATACTGAGTAGAGACACCTAAACACAGATAAACTTTCAGTTTCTTTGAAGCATTTATAGAAATTTTAAGCTCTGTTATATACTTTCAAACCAAAATACCTTGGGTTTTGTTGCCCGATATGCAGTCTAGAGAATGGAACGTCCAAGTAATCTTTTTGCCGTGTGTCATGTTCGTGTAAGTCACATCTCCTATTCCATCTTATCATGTTACTTTTGACGTAAATCAAAACGGAATAAATATATAATGATGGAAGTGTCATGATCTAAAGTTCCTTAGATAAATCTCTACATGAATGTTTACTAGTTACACGCATCATGTAACGAATAGCACGTTTTTGTGCTAAGAAGACCCAGAGTGCACCAGAGGCTAGACCCCGATAGATTATATCGTAGCCTATCACTGATTGGAACAGCCCATAGTACACCTGCTTTAAAACGTCAATGGATACCGTATCTCGAATATTTTGGATTAAGTATGAGCAGGAGCTTAATTTGGGCAATATGTTGTCGATGTGATGATTCCATGTAAGTTTGTTGTCAATGTGCAGACCGAGAAACTTAGTAGCCTCCACGTTTTCTATTGAACGTCCCTCTAATTGGAGAAGAATACCGGAATCAACGCGAGTATTTTTTGTGCCTATTTCCATAGCTATTGACTTAGATTTATTTAATTGTAGTCCGTTATCGCGACACAATTCATTCACCCTCGTGACCCTTGGTTCTGCGGCCCCTTTTAAATTAGCTCTGCTTTTATCTGCATACAGTACAAATAATGCATCTATATTATCCTGAGGAAGATCGTTAATAAAACAATTAAAGAGGAGCGGTGATAGGCAGGATCCTTGCGGGGTACCTCTGCCTACATATTGAGGGCTCGATTTTGAACCGCCGATCACAACCTGCTGTACTCTCTCGGAGAGGTAAGATTTAACCCATGAGTTTGCTGGACCTCTAATGCCCATATTTTCCAGTTTTTTTAAGAGCAGGCTATGATCGACAGTGTCGAATGCGCGGCTCAAATCAAAAAATAAACCTAATGTGGCTGTTTTGTTATTAAGGCTATTGTAGATATGCTCCAGAGCACAGTCCAGAGCTGTACTTGTGGCGCGGTTGGCTAGTATACCTGGACTCCAAAATTTTTGCCACTTGACATTGAAGAGCTACGGGGCGGTAGTTCTCTATGTTGGTTTTATTGACTTTATTTTTAAAAATAGGTACGATTTTTGACTTTTTTAAGGCCTGTGGATACTTGCCCCGGAGGAAGCTCAAATTGACTAAATATGATAGAATAGGAGCTATAATATCTTTAACAGAGATTAACAAAGTGCCCGGTATTTCATCGATTCCAGATGATTTCTTACGGCATACTTTTATAATTACTTGTGTTATCTCTACTGTTGTAATAGGGTAGAGAAACATCGAGCTTCAGTGCTTGCTTGCTATTGTTAGCAAGATCAGCAAAATATTTGTTAAAAATTTCACAGATTTTGTATCCATCTTGTAGTGTTTCACCACCAACGGTTATGTTGGTTATAGAAGAGGATTTACTTTTATGGTTGCTATTTTCGCTGACTATTGCCCAACTTTCTCTGCTTATGTTATCAGATTTCATTAACCTTAAATTGTGGTGAGTTTTCTTTGCGTGTTTAAGTTTTTTGTTGTAATGGGATTTAAGTCCTTTGTATTTTTTATTATATAGATCATTTTTTATTCTTTTGTTTATTTGATGCATCTCGTGTACTGCACGACTCAGCTCTCTTAATTCTCTATTAAACCAATAGGTTTTTTTCCTGTTCGAGACTTTTCCTTTTTTTGTAAATGGAAAACTTGACATAAATATTTGTTTCAGTTTTTCGTAAAAAGTGTGATTTTTTTATCTAAGTCGTCAGATTGAATATCGTAGAGCAAATTATTCCAATCTGTGTTGGATACCAAATCTATAAAAGAATTTACATTATTTTTGCTAAACTTTCTGAAAAAGCGTTCTGCACAATTATTATGAAAGAACTTCTCAAAAATGAAGAGCTGAAACGTGTTGTCAGAGATACATGTGTCTACTGCCACGCCTTTTAGTTCGGTAAAGTCGACGAAAATATTGTCAATGCATGTTCTATAATGATAAGTTATTCTAGTGGGCTCTTCTATAGAAGCAACTAAATTATACTCAAGAAGTATATTTTTTAATATTTTAGTTTGTTTGTTGTTTTCAAGCAAGTTGACGTTAATGTCGCCGCACAAACTGTGCTTATTTTTTGGTTCGTATATAGCTTCTAACATTATTGAGAGTTTCTCTACAAATGCTTCGAAGTCTCCCTTTGGAGATCGGTATACAGAGAAAATTGTGATACATTCCTTGTTAAGCTCTAATTTTATTGAACACATTTCAAAAGTTTTTTCTTCAGAGTTATTAAATGGAATTTTTGAAAAATTTACACTTTCTCGACCCAAGATACAGACTCCCCCTCCTCTGCAACTAGTTCTCGAGAAATAACTAAGAACCTTATAATCTAAAAGCTTAAGAAGATTAATGTCTGAGGATTCATGATGTTCTGATACACAGCACATTGACGTCGTGGTTATTTAGTATTGATTCGAGGGCTTCTTTTTTGTTTGTGATACCCCCTTGAATATTAAGGTTCATAACTACGAATTTGTTAGGTGTCTCACCGTCTGCAGTTGTCTTTAATTGACCGATGCCGTCCTGAAGTTTCATAAACATCGTAGAAATTACACTAGTGCTAACATTACAGCTATCGCAGAACCATTTGAGATTTGGTGTTTCTAGCAATAATTTCACTTTATCTCGCGATAAATTGATACATTGTTTATGAAAAAGTGCGTTCTACACACCACTACAATTAATTTTTATATCGTTTGCCAAAATTTCCTGCAAACAGGATCCGCACCTTAGCGGTACGTCTGAACTCGCTGCCGCCATCACAACACAATGCATAGTTAGACTTTTATTAGAATATAGCTCAACAGTCTGGAACCCTTATTATGCAAATTATATTCATATATTTTTGTGGCGGATATGACTTTAAAGTGCTTCATGAGAGATTTGAACGACCAAAATTGAGGGGTCCATATTGCTTTCTTTATTGATTGTTTTGGTTTCATCTAGAAATACCGCATTCCTATGTTTTATCGCCTTGAGGTGTACGAAGGTTGGACTTAATTGTTCCATCACACGTGTGGCAGGAATAGTTACCTCATATTCTAATCACTTTGATTTTTTTGACGCCAGCTCTAAGAGTTCTGCAAGTCTCTTGAAACGTTATGTGATATAGGTATAAAGTCTATAGTAATTTATTTACATTTGTATTGATACTTCTGTTTCCTTTTTGTATTTAGATTATAATGGAATAATTGAATGGTTTATTTGAGTTGATTAGTTCTATTGATATATCTCGTACTAAAAGACCCGTTAATAAATAAATACAAATATTTTGACCATCTATGTTCACAAATCTATTTTTGTCATTTTGCCAAACTAAAAGTGAATGATGATAATGGCAAAACAGAGTCAATTATAGTGTGTTGCTCAGTAAATTGCTAGCATTTAGTCTTCAGGGAACTTTTCTCCATACTGGATGACTAGCTATTGAAATTAGGTGGCTCTTACTTAATGAAAATCCATTTTTGTGTTATGTATGTATGTATTTGGTAAAGGAACGGTACTGCCGAAACAACATAAATTGAATGGGAAAACCAATTTGCCGAGTTTATGTTTCTTGAACTTTTGGTTGCTTAATATAGGACAACAAATGTGCGATGTTTTGACACTATTAAAGTCTACATTTCCGGTTTGGGCGGAAACGGCTTTTGATTTTTAAATAGCACCTCCCCACCCCCATGAATTTTTGCATGCAGATGATTTTACGCAGGATACGACCATTTCCCAGTTTTGTTTTCTTAAAATTATCTTTTTATTTTGAAAATTATATCTAGACGACCACGACAAATACTAATTACTGGACTAGCCATTTTTTAGAATAACTAGTTTTTTTCAAATATCATCTCAGTTGGAACATACAGTTTTTAAAACCGACTTTTTTTGCAAAAAAAAAGTTGAAAAACAGTTATAGAGCAAGCTCACAGGAAGAAAAAAGCAGATCAGTAAATACATAAAAATAAATATTATATAGAAAGCGTTGCTTCAGTGCATAATATTCTAATTAATATATCAAATATCTAGGGTTAGTTTATTATATCCACGGTATCATTCACGGCGGAAAATACAGTGTTGTTGTATATGGAATATTTTAACAGGAAAAACTATTTTTAAACTATATTCACTAACAACCAACAAAGATAATTACAACTTTTTTTAATCGTCCAGCTTTAGCAGTTTTGGAGATATTTAAGCGTTCTGTAATTTTTAACTAATCCTGTATAAATGTCAATGTCAATTAAAGACCACGGAGATTATTCAAGAATTAATTTAAATAACTGCGGAAAAAACTAAGGTCAATTTCAAATAACCCCCAGGAAAAATATGGATTCCAAGAACTGTTTAACTGATAAAATTACACCATTTTGCAAAAATCGAGTGTAAATAGATTTTGCTTTCTTTAGCAAAAGGGTTTTCCTGTTTCCTGCATCAAACTTTCCCTAATCAGGAATAGCAAATGCACAAATAAAATTCATGCCTGCCTTTGCAGTTATGCCTAGAAAGCCGTTAATTGATGTCTACCCCAACATAAAAACTTTGTTTAACCCAAAATTTTAAACTATACTGGTGGATAAAGTGCCAAAAGTGCATACGACTGATAGAGGAAGTGACAAATTAATAATTTTGTTAAAAGCAAGAACCCTTTGTGGCATTGAGAGATAACGAAGATCTGTGAGTAATTTTTTTAAAGTAATTAAGATTAATTAAACTAGAGGTGTTTAATAATGTAAAGTTAGTGTTAGTACATGAAGTAATAGCTCAACTGTAATTTTGACCGATCTGAAGAATTCGACAGCCTCAAATTAAGAAACTGGATCGGTTTGGAGTAAGGTAAGGCGCACTGCAATTATTTCAATCCTATCTAGATGACAGAAGGATTCATATCGAAGAGATATTATACACTGATGAGGTTCCAGACATCAAGAGCATCATCGCTTTATGGATACGTGGGTCACTGAATGAGAAAAACAGGTTGCTGGTTTAAAAAAATGTCTTTCCTTAAATATATCAAAAACAAAAATAATAGCTGTGAAAGAAACGTCGCAACAAACCACAACAATTATAAAGAAAATGAAATAATCATACAAAAATCAATGTTAGCTTAGTTTAAAGTTGGCTCAGAGGTTTATATAAATAAATAAATAACAAACCAAGAACAACACTATCTAGATGACAGAAGGATTCATATCGAAGAGATATTATACACTGATGAGGTTCCAGACATCAAGAGCATCATCGCTTTATGGATACGCGGGTCACTGAATGAGAAAAACAGGTTGCTGGTTTAAAAAAATGTCTTTCCTTAAATATATCAAAAACAAAAATAATAGCTGTGAAAGAAACGTCGCAACAAACCACAACAATTATAAAGAAAATGAAATAATCATACAAAAATCAATGTTAGCTTAGTTTAAAGTTGGCTCAGAGGTTTATATAAATAAATAAATAACAAACCAAGAACAACACAATGTCGGAACTGCCAGGCGTATAGTGTGCAAACATATAATATTCTACCACCTCATGTTCTTGGAGGTTGACTGGAAAGAATGAGCCTTGAACTTAAGTATTTAAGAGACAAAAATAAAAAATAAAATATTTGCATTGATATTGTTAATAAGATGTTGAATTTTCAAGAATGTGATTTAGTAGTGTGCAATAAATCGTTTAGAAAAAAAATGACCACTTTACGAAATCTGCCAAGCACTGCTTGGTTGGTTAGTTTAAGTAAAAAGTAAAAAAATATTCAGCGAGAATTTTTTGCTGAAATAAATGCACCTAGTTTTTCGCTACAAACTTACCTTGAAGAGCTTCAGAGTTATTAGGATCAATTTCGATGGCCTTTTGGAACGCTGCGATAGCTTTGCTCGCCTGTTGCATGCCCTGCAAAATATGACCCTTCCGGATCCAACCTTTGATAAACTTTGGATCGAGCTCGACGCATTTCTCGCAGTCGCGCAAACCAAGATCAAACGCGGCCAGTTTCGTGTAACACGCTGCACGGTTGCTGTACAATTTTGCATCGTCAGGATTGCGTCTGATGGCTTCTGTGTAGTGTTTAACAGCGGTCGCATAGTCGCCCTTTTTGAACAATTCATTGCCTGCAAAATAATATGTCTATGTGCCGCTTTGAGATTCATCATTAAATTAGATCATTTCAATAATACCATCTATAAATATAACACACAGTAAATATCAATTAATATATTCCTTATAAAGAAGAAACATAGGCTAGTAAGCTTAAGACTCTGTCAAAAGTTCTATAAGTTAAACATATTGAATTTAAATATTCTGTAGATTATACTTTACATAAGAGTAAAGAGAAGTTAAGAGACCTTAGTGTTTTTTTTGTTTTATTTCAACTTTTTTCTTAATTATACAACTAATAAAATTAATTAATTAATTAAAATTACTGGGTTTGATGAAAATATCTTTGCAAGATTTTAATTGTATTGGTTGCTTTAAAACTCTATTTTGCTCTTATATAAGGTCAGTTATGGAATATGCTTATCAAGTTTTGTCTCCTTAGGATAGTTAGTATGTTCAACAGATTGAGAAACTACAAAAGGGGTTTGTGAATTTTTTTAGGTTTAATTTGTTTATGACTTCACTTGTTGCTTACAGTTAGTATAAGTATCAGTAATAATATAATAAAAATCAAAAAAGATGGGTGACAGTCTTATAGAACAAGTAAACAATATTCATTTATGAAAAGTTGTTTACTCTATTTCCATTTTGTAGTTAGATAGTTGGCTTACTTACCTATTTCTTTCTCTTTTTCCGCCAACTCTGGGTTAATGTATGACTTCTCCTCTTCCTCCTTTATAATTTTCTCTACTTGAGAGAGAAGTGTTTTAATCTCTGGTGTCCTGTGCTCCGATAAAGACTTTTCATAATAAATTTTAGCATTCTGATAGTTTTTCAACTTTTTGTAGGCATTGCCAATCCTCATAAAGGATTTGGCGATCAATTTAAAATCGGCTCTGTTCTGCCTCCCAATTTCAATTCCCTTTTCACACTCTTTAATGCACTTCTCATACTCTTTCTGTTCGAAATAAACTGCAGCTAAATTATTATAAAAAGTGATGTCGTTGGGATCATACTCAATAGCTTTATTATAGTGCACAATGGCACTACCAAAATCTTTTTTTTTGTAACTTTCATTGCCCAGTTCTTTTTCTTTTTTAGCTAATTTGATGTTTTCTGGTAAATCGGGCTCTGCTTCTTTTTTAGGTTCTGATTTTGGTTCAGGTCTTTTAGGTGGTGGAGGCTCAGATGTGTCCATCATGTCATCTGAGCCAATATCTAAACCAGTCAGTACTGATAATGTCGTTAAGAGACGGGGATCTTGCATTGCCGTCCCCAATGACTGGGGATTAGACATAAGTGCATTTACTAAAGCCAAATATTCCGGATCATCTACGAATGAGCGTGTCCTAGGGTCTGCCCTAAGTTTTGCCATTAAGTCTGCTGTTTTTTGTGCCTTTACCTACCAGAATTTAATTCAAATTAATTTCAAAAAAGTAATATGTTGCATCAGTTAAAAAAGATAGAAATGATAAAAAAAATTACTTACTTCTGAAAGACCTTCTTTTAATTGGCTATTGTTTGGATCCAATTGCAAACCTTTTTCGTAAGTAGCTATAGCAGCGTCTAATTTGCCTAAATACGCCAACGCAGCCCCTTTTCTCGAGTAAGCCTTAGCCCAATCAGGCTTCAGCTCTATGGCTTTCTCAGCATCTTTTAAAGATAAATCATATCTGTTTGCTTTGGCATAGGCAGCAGATCTATTTGAATACAAAACAGCATTTTTGCCATCTAAATTGATACCCTCCGTGTAGAATTTTATCGCATCTTCTATGTTATTCGCCCCTAATGCGGCATTTCCCTTATCTTTTAAAACTGTAACCTAAAAAAACCCATGAGTGTTTTTAAGGATTATAGAAACGAGTACAAGTTTACCTGATCCATTATACCACTCACAAAGCAAAGAAATGAAATTAACTTTGACAACGTTTAAATATTCCAATGAGTTCTTCTTTCCAGAAAGTTCTCGCGAATTTCGCCCCCAGTATTCTCAACAAAATCCAAAGAATAGCGCAACTCTTTGACACCTGTTTAGATATTCAACAATCCGAATTTCAGTCTATGGCTTGAAACCTAGATTTTTTTTCTTTACGCTTAATTGGGCTAATCACAAATTCGGATATTATTAAACCATAGTTAGTTAGCCCTTTAAATTAAGACGCAAGTATATTGTAATTAGAAAAACCAAATCTTTTATTTAACGAAAAATGCAACAAGAATGAGGCACAAAAGGTGCTAATTATTGGTAATTTATCAATAATCATGAATATCACCGCTTTCGAGCATCAACTGAAAGCGGGAGGTTACTATTACTACTGGAACATACCAAAAAGAAGGCGAAACGGTCTTCTAACCCTACTATATTTTTGATAATGTCTATGCTAACAAGATTAAGATTTTTATTAGCAAAACGATGTTATTCAGTTGAAGCAACAATCACGAATACCCAAACAGAAGTGGTTGAACCACGACAGTTAATATTTCCGTCCAAGTATCAAAAACCTAGACAAGTTTGGTTGGAAAGCTTGGAAACCATTGATGATAAAAAAATCGGTTTATTAGAGCTTCACCCTGCTGTATTTGGGGGAGAACCCCGTATAGATTTAATTCACCAAAATGTTGTATGGCAGCAAAAATATAGATATGTTAGTTTTGCTCATACAAAATTAAGATTCGAATGCAGAGGAGGTGGAAGAAAACCTTGGCCTCAAAAAGGAATGGGTAAAGCCAGGCATGGATCAATCAGGTCTCCGTTATTTAAGGGAGGTGGCTTTTCTCATGGCCCAAGGTCTCCCACACCTCATTTTTACATGTTGCCATTTTACACAAGGGTTAGGGGTTTGATCGCCACCTTATCTGTGAAATTTGCACAAGATGATTTACACATTGTAGATCATTTGGAGTTGCCTGTAGATGATACCAGTTATATTGAGGAATTGGTTAGGAGTCGTTTGTGGGGCCCTTCAGTACTTTTTGTAGACAGGTCAGATATTATTGGTTCCCTTTTTGTGAAATATTTTAATTATTTTTATTTTTAGTTCGGATATAATGCCCAGAAATATAACAGCTGCAACGGACACAGTCAAACATTTTAATCTGATGCCTGCATATGGGCTAAATGTGTATTCAATGTTGAAACATGATACTTTGATCCTAACCAAGGATGCTCTTAATCTAATTGAAGGAAAACTACTCAACCATTTGCATAAAAATGATACAAAATCAGTTCTAAGAAAATACAAAGTCGATCAATATTAACATAATTTGGTTGATCATTGCATTCATTGTAAATTGGCTTTACTTTTGCTATTACTAGACATTTGTTCTAGTCACAGAAAAACAATTTATATTTGACTAATGAGCACAATGTGAATAAATAGCATCTGTCAAATTATGTATTTTATAAAATATTTCAATATTTGTGGCTTTTTTTTGGTTAGTTTTTAATAACTATTCAAAACTAACACTTTTCAGTGGACATAAATACCCAAAAAAATTCATTAAAATCATGCAACATCTGAACTGTGCATGGAAATAATGTAACTTCCCGTGTTATTCTATAAAAGGAGCAGAGACTGAGTCAAGTTAAGCCATGGATTTAACAATGAAGGGCTAAAAAGAGAGATATGTCAACATTTTTTTGGGTAGTAAATAAAAATAACATGACTATTGTATTACAAAATACAAAAGGTGAAGTTGAAGTTACAGTTCCTCACTTAACCTACAAAATCAGGTATTCTTCAGACGGGAGTAGAAAAATGCCACATGCGAAAAGCCCTTTTTATGTATTGTTTTTTTTAACTGTGTGCTTTAATTGCCGTACCTGTTTAGTTTGTGTCATTGGAGAAAATTTAATTAAAACTCCAAAACAAAAGATAAATTGAAAGTGTGGTTATTGTGTAGTTATATAAAATGTCAAAAGGGTTTTTATGTATTTAATATTCCCATTAATTAATTAATTAATTCCGTTTCTTAATTCAATTCCATTTACTTTTTAGCTTTGTTATCCTATCTCGGAAAGTAATTGTCTGAAATACTTGGAGTGAGAAAATTTATGACTAAAGCGGTCATTAGAAAATGCTGAAAATTGTTTATAAATTTCTGCACTGATTTCCATGGCGCGCAATCGCAACCTTGAATTGTAAATTCCGTTTTTTGATAAATAATGTTATATTACGGAAAGCTAATAATAATAATAATAATATCTTTCAATAAATGGTGTGCGCTCTTAACGAAAAGTGGTGGTGTTCAAACGTTTTTGGAAATAAATGTCAATAACTTCTGTATGTATTTTTTCAAATTTACTATGCTATAAATGTTCTTGTTATGGTTGTGACTGCCCTGAGTGAAATGATTTAGAATATTTGCTATATAGCCAATTACGGATCTAAAACGTTAGTAAAATCCTCGTTTCGGTATCTCTTTCCTAACCTATAATGCCAATGAAAAAAATAACTCGAAATAATATCGCATCATTATAAATATTCTTAGTATGAACTGTCATTAAAAGTGCATGGCATAGATTCTTATAGAAGCAGCTGCGTTTCTTAAATTTTGTGAATACAAAACATTCCAAACACTTCTACTATTTTTTTAATCCAAAACACACTATAATTTTAAAAATTTCGATTTCCTTGTGGACAGATTGACAATTGATATTGATATTGAAGGCGCAGGTTATTCTTTATGACAATCGAGTATAATAATTGGAAACTTTCCTTTAATGATGCTCTGCTTGATTTTGTCGAAATTAGAGAGATTTCTTATGCTAAGGGTTGGCGTCCTTTCTATAGAAGGGAACAGATAAGTTCTGGTTTGATATTTGTCGAGTTTGGTATTCGTGTTCTGTAGGGTATTATAGAAATATAAGATTATAATATTTAATATATTTTCCTTATATAGCTGGTTAGTCGGAAAGCGTCTTTCTTTTTGAAATACAATTTTTAGAATATAATTTTGAGCAACGTTTAGAGGTTCGTGTGAGTTAGTGTACAGACCACCCCATACAACTATAGCATATGGAGAAATAGACTCAGCCAAAGCTTTATAAATAGATGTCAAGAGTTTTCTATTCATAAATTTTCGCAATTCATAAAATTTGCAGACACGTCTTCTAGCCTTTACGTGATTGGACCACTTTAGATTTTTGTCAACTAGGACGCCCATATATTTAATGTTATAACCTCATTCATTTTAAATCTTGCTCTTGGTAATTGTAAGGAACCAATGTCCGGTTTTTTTACGTCTGTAAGAGAGAATACAATATATTTAGATTTCTTGTCATTGAGGGTTAGTTAATTAAGGTCTAGCCAATGCTTTACCATTTCAATACCTCGCTCAACTTTAGATTTAATTTCCTGCCAAGTATTATCACTAAAAACCACAACTGTATCAGCAGCGTATGATATAATTAGGCACTGTATTTTATTTCCTAGTAATTAATTAACATACTTAATAAATAATAGCGAGCCTAGGTGAATTGTTTGACGGCCACTGTTCTCTGTTTTAAAGTCGTAGCCCTCAAGACTTTGTGTTTTATAAAAAAGCTAAATAGTCTATCCTTTAGGCATTTCTCAAACAGTTTGGTGAATGTAGTAATCAGACTTATTGGCCTAGAATTATTGATTTGTATTTTGTCGTCTGCCTTATATTTTGGAATTACTACTGATTTCATAGTTTTAGTTAGAGTTTGGAGCTTCAGTTATTATGTTTTACATTTTTTTATGCCATTCTTGTTGCTATTTATGATTTCATATGTTGCCATATGTTAATTCATTTATGTTTATGTTATGTTTATAAGCGCTCTATCGTTATCATTTATTATTATTTTGTTTTTAGCAGATCACGATGTTTCATAGAGGTTATAACAGCATTCGTAATCCAGGGTTTAAGTTTAACATGATTTGGAATATTTATAACTCTCGTTATGGTTGGTGAACTAAGTTTTTAAACTTTAAGTAGTCAAGAACTGCAATTGTCTTTTTAATCGGCTGTGGTTTATTTTATTTGTGGTATATTTTTTATTTATTACTAACTTGTAATAGGGTAATGATCAGTTGTGTTTTGGTTTATAACTGCAGAATAAAGATTTAAGTTGGCATTGTTTGGTTTTGTTTAACGAAGATGTGATGAAGTGGGGGATGTTGTTGCTCTCGCATATGTATTTATGTATGATTTAAAACCTAGGGACATAAAGGCGGTCAAGTAATTGTCGGCAATAGCTAGATCTCGATTCAAAATATTTATATTTATGTCACCTGAAAAAATGGTGAGGGTGATCTATAACATGTTACAAGAGTGTAAATCTAATTTCTGTTAAAGTGACGTGCGATAATGGTATTACGGTATGTTTAACTTTAAAGAGTTCTTATTGTTTATGAAGACTAGCAGATCATCATTCTGGTTCAGACTGCTATCATTAAAGAGCCTACTAAACCCAGAGAGACTAAACTGATCTAGAAAAAAATTGTTTCTAGTTTCACCTAAAATAAAATATCAATGTTTTGAAGATCACAGGCCGAAAAACTTTTAAATTAATATTCGAACAAAGAGTGTTCAGTTTTGTTAAAGTTTTCGGATCTATTATGAAATATCCCCCACCAACGAATTTCGCAACGTTATAATACAAGTTTATCGTGTTTGTTAAATATTTATTATGTTAGTTTTTTACTTATTGTGTTCTTTGTTGTGTATTAAGAACTTTGACAAGTGTGCTTTCGGATTCATTATCTTTGGAAGGTTGTGGTGAATTGTATTTGTGATGGAAAGCTTAATATATCTAACCGGAAATTTAATAGGGAGAACAGCAGAGGAAAGAGGGACTCAGGCTTCTAAATTTCTAAAACGGTTGGTTCTAACGACTTCTAAAAAGAGGATATTTTTTAACATAAAAAAACTTTTTTTTATTTTTTTCAGCAAAAATAGAAATGGTTTCTTTCTCTAATTTTCTAAGAATTTCTGAGAAAATCTCATTTTCGTATTCACATTAGAAGTTGTGCGTGCCATCTCGTAGCCGTTTTAGGAGCTTGAAAATAATTTCCAACAGTTTCTCATTACCTCTTTACTGTATAAAGGAGATTATGGACCAAAATGAGTATGTTCATATTCTTCAGCACATCATGTTACCATTTGTCCATTTGCCCTTAATATGGAAGTATCAACAGGATAATGATCTCTTCAGAGCCATACTCCTCCTAAAAGACCTGAGTCGTGGTTAAGATTGTTTGGTTGCTTATAGATTTCTATGGGATCTCGGATTTTTCTCTTGAAGAATTTTGGCTTTATTGAATAAAATTTGATATCCGATTTGATGATTGTGTTTGGCAACTGCCGATGAGTTTATTTGTCTTAAAGTCCTTTTATGTTCTTTTAGCCCAATTGATGTTTTTCGCCATGTTTCTCCAATGAATTCCATGTCGCACATGTATGGGATGCTGTAAACTCCTCTGTCTCTATATCTTGAAGTTGCTTCCATCATGTCCCCATCCCAGTTCGATACCCTTTCACATATGATTCATGAGAAAGTTAAAAAATCACGATTATTTTCTACACAGAATGGAATGCTGTAAACTCCTGGTATCTTAAACGACGGACCAAAGATGTCGAGAGAGGTTTTTGGACAAGTGATAAATTTAGTGGTGTTTTGAATGTTAGTAAGCACAACAGTAGTAAGTATGGGGTTGGTTTTGGTTTCATTATCTTTGGAAGTTTGTGATGGAACGCTTAATATATCTAATATGAAAATTACTTGAGAGAAGAGCAGATATGAGATGTTTATTCTGATTCTGGGTTCAGTGACTCGGGTTGAATAATTTATGCTATGTAGTGTATGTATGTTAGGCTATGTAAATAAGAGAGTCTCTTCTATTAATATGCTGAGCACAGAGCGGATAGAGCTTATTGCGTTAACGCTGTTTTTCAAGCGTCTAATCTAACAGGGGTCACTTCACTAATTATTAATAATTTAATTTTTATTAAATAAAAATTAAAACGTGAACTTAACCGATAGTCCTATTAATAGCTCAATAAGTTAGTAACTTCGTTGCACATTTAGCGTGAAATTTCCTGCTCCGTCTCTGGCCGATACAGCAGACGCTGTAATTATTTAAAGAAACGTTTGAAACATCTGATAAATGATATTGTTGATAACGTCAACTCGACGGTGCATGCCAGCCATTCGACCGTCTCATTGTGAAAATGACTATACTATACTATAAAATTATTATTTTCGTGCTGTGTTTCGTGTCGAGCAGTTTTGGTGCGAATGTTTTAATAATTTTTTCTCAGCCGGCGAAGAGCCATTACATACTGGGAAATGGTTTGGCAACAGGACTGGCGAAACGTGGATTTAATGTAACTATTGTGAGTCCTTTTGAAGAAAAACATCCACCGGAAAATTATCACCAAATAGTGTTGGATGGAGTTGTAGAGAAGATGGAGGGTAAGAAGTTTTCCTTGTTGTTACTCTCAAGCCTTAATGGTGCGTAACGTTTAATGTTCGTGGTATATATAAATAAGTAACCCATAAAATCGATCGAACTATAGAAGATGTTTATGTCAGTTATTAGATGTTAAAAAAATACATTCTTTACGATTTTTAAATATTTTTTGCCCCATTTTGTTGACATTCATAAATAGAAAGGACCAATAATATAGACAGAGCATTCTTTTTGTAATTTGGCTTCATAACTCAAATACGAGGGATTAAAAACGAAATACTGTCACAAATCGGCCACAATTATGCAAAACCACTACCAAGTCACTCGAAATCCCGGGCAATCTTCGAAATCGAAACCAATGAAAATGCGCGGTGATAATTCCGTTCCATGCAGTTTCGTATTTTAGTTTTAGATAGGACATCGATGATATTAGTTTTTTTACAACTATTCAAATGTAACAATATATAGGAGTTATTTTGTTAAACCGTAAGTGTGATAATATCCAGATAAAGAATTTTATTTAATTTGAACCATTTGGAGAGTATTTAAAAAAAAGCAAAACACTTAAGCTAGTGATTTCTTGTAAACGTTTACTCAACATACTACCATTATGGAAATATCAGACCACAAATATGGCGGAAAGTAATGTTTTTATTTTTTCTCTTAAAAACGAAAAGAGAGAATAATAAAATATTACGAAAACAAACAAAAATCCATATTTTTTTAATTGATTGGGATTGAATTAGACTTCTTAAGTACTATATGCAATGGATGGAAAAATGTGATGGCAATATATTCCTGGATATCATCCGTTCGTTTGTTGAACTCCGACTGGAATCCTGCATCGAAGTATTTTCGGAGCGCGAGCATTGAAGATGCCAAGTGAGATCTTGGCTAAACGTTTGCAGGATTCCAGTTGGATTCAGGTTTCCAGTCGGAATTCAAAAAACGAACGGATTGTGATTCTTTTGGGCCATCTCTCAGCACTGTTTCTTCTGCTTTCATTCGAGTTATTACTTCCTCATTGGTTTTTCTTTCTAATGATATTCTTGCGTTTCGTCTGATATAATCCATTTCTATAGCTAAGATCCTTCTTCTTAGATCTGCATTTAAAGTCCACACTTTTGATCCATATCCCACAAAACTGACTTCATCATTGTTTTCCCCACTTTTTTTGGTTTTATTTGAAATATTTTTATCCCACCAGAAGGAGTTAAGGCTTCCTATGATTTTCCTACGTTGTTGTATTCTGTGTTTTATTTCTATTTCTCCTACCCCGTTTTTATCCACAAGTGCTCCTAAATATTTAAATTTTTCCACTTGGTCAATGCCTACATCATCATCAAATAAAACTTGAAATCGAGCATCGCTGTTTCTTACCAAGTATTTTATTTTCTCAAGACTCATCTGTGACCCCCAGTTTTTATATACGCGTCCTGGGCCATGACAACCTGACCGTCAGCGAAAAATAACGTGAATAGAGTATCATTATCATCTATCGGGATTCAAATTCCGCTACATCGTCCTTTCCAACTTTTAAGCGCGGCTGCCACATATAGATTAAAAAGTAAGGGGGACATACTGCATCCCTGTCTCAATCGCTTGGTAACATTTATCGGTCCATTTTTAATCTGTACTGTGTTGTGGCTATACATTTCGATAATAATCTGTAGCAAGTGATCATCTATGTTTAAGTCTTTTAAAGATTTGCTCTCGGAACAGTATCATAGGCCTTTTCTACATCCACAAATGCCAAATGCAATTCTTTATTTACTGCTATGATCTTTTCTGCCAGCTGTTGTACAATAAGTAGGTTGTCTGTACAGGATCGGTTTGGTGTAAATGCACTTTAATCTTCGGCGACTCTGTAGCCGATGTTCTGTCTTATTTCATCATATACGAGGGAACTTGTATTTGGTGGCAGCAGTTTTGCATTAGTTGAATTATTCTATTCCTTATACCAGGTCCTTCTGCTTTCAGCAATTCAACGGGAATGTTTCCGAGGTGAGGGAATCGGCTATTCTTCATTCTGGATCTCGCCCTTCCAACTTCCTTAGATGTTATAGTTGGACTTTTATTAATATCTTCGTTATTTAATAGTGGCTCTACCCTTATGAATTCTGGTGTGCTTTCGCCTAACAGATGCGTATAATGTCTCCATTCTGGCATATGAATTAACGTGTTGATTCCTATGTCAGGAAAAACTTATGCAATGTCAATTTTTTTAATTTGATTTATTTATATATTAGCTTTTGTCTCATGCAATTTTTTCATATAATTTTGCAAATAAAAAAATGAAATGTAAAGCACCGCATAACGGGAGGAAAAAATGTATTAAATAAAAAATCTAGTCTAGTCAAAGTCTAGTCAAAAAGAATGAACTCCACTCACCTAAAAAAAGTAAAAATATGCAAAAATGTGCTTTCGTAATAGTAATGCTTCTGTAATATTTTATTGTTCTATGTATTTTTTAAGATAAAAAATAAAACAATTTTTTTCCGCCCTATTGGTTGGCTTTTGACCTAATGTTCAAGTAACTACCCTATATTAAACAAGATTGCTTTCGCAATCTCGTCGCTGCGCGAGGCGACTGCTCCGCGCTACGCAGTCAAGAAAGCCGCTCCGCGGCTTTGTATTTCGGAGAAGCCGCTTCGCGGCTTCTTGTCCTAGGAGAAAGCATTGTTTTTCTGTCGTGCTCCTGCGGACCACTACGGAACTTTCGCAAAATGTAATTGTATTATGTTTGCACCAAAGTATTTAACGTATAAATCTCAAATTCTCAAAATTATAAATAAATAAGATATAAAACATTCAAAATTGATCATTGATTTTTAAGCCGATTTTTCCATTTAAAATGAGATTTCAAGGTTATTTCTCAGCTCATGTTGATCCGAGAAAGTTGAAATTTTTATGGAAGATACACATCAATGAGGTCCATCCGCAGATACTTTAATGTCGGTCCCAAGGCCCCCATTTTTGGTTAATATTTTCAATTTATTATTATCATATTTATCATGTTTTTCTTCAAAAAATTTATATTCTTAATTTTTTAAAATATATACCTTTCTCCGAGAAGATTGAAATTTTTATTGAAGTTAGAGGTCAATGAGGTCTACAAGCAAATACCATAAAGTCTGCCTCCAGCCCCCCCTATCATTAGTTAATATTCTCAATTTATAATTTTCATGGATATCATGATATTCCTCAAAAATTCTAATTTTCATTTTTTTAAACTACTTAGGTTGCTTTGAAAAGATTGAATTTTTTTTTGAAGATGGAGGTCAATGAGCTCTATCCATAGAAATTATAAAGTCCTTCCCAGCTCCCACCATTTAATTATAAAAAATAATTAATACAATTAAAAAAAAATGCAGTCTCCTACAAAAACCATTCCCGACAAAAAACCATACAACTTGAGTAAAATCTTTTAATATCATTAAATAGGGAAAGGACTAAGGTATATAACGTATAAATTTCAAATTTTTAAAACTACAAATAACGGAAATAAAAAACAATTTATCAAAAAATCCGTTTTTTTGTTGATATTTTGTCCCCCGGAGGGACTAAGGAGCTTATAATTAAACAACTGATTTTTTTTAATACCCTCCGGACCCTCTATCTTCGTGCCAAATTTCATCCGGATTGGTTAACATCGACCTCGATCCAAAATTTTCATGTGCAACTTGGTCCTGATTTTTCCCAAAAATTTAAATTTTTAATTTTTTAAACTATCTACGTTGCCACTAGAAGCTTGAAATTTTTACTGTAGATGGAGGTCAATGAGGCCCATCTGCAGATACTATAAAGTCCCCCCAGCCCCCTCCATTTAATTGTAATTAAGCATTATTTTAAAATTTGCAGCATCCCACAAAAACCGTTCCCGACGGCAAACGGTACAACATGTGTGAAACTTTTTGGTGTTGTTGGATAGAGGAAGGACGTAGGTATATAACATTCAATTTCTCACAGTTGAAAATAACCGAGATATAAATCATAATTTACGAACCATCGATTTTTCAGCTGGTATTTCAGGCCAAAATGTGATTTCGAGGTAATGTCCCAAAAGCTTGCAAAGTTTTGGCTAAAGGGGTTTCTGAGGATCAGAAATCCGAATCGGCAACTACTTTTTGAAAATGTTGACATTTCGTGACGATTTATGATTATATAAATTATGTTTTTCCTAATTTCCCACGCACCCTGTATAGTAGACAAAAGCTCTAAATCCGAAAATTGTTGCTCTCGATACAGTTCATAACACGTTTTAAACCAAATTTTCCTATCTTTTACAGTTTTTCATTTACAGCTAATATTTTATACACGAAAACGGCAATTTTCACAGTACTTTACATATTTTGCCCATAATCGAGACACCCTGTACATAATCGGAAAAATTACGGAAATCAAGATTAAAACCCTGAATCTCCCACGTTCCGTGGTAGATGTAGTTTGCCATTGGAGCAAATGGTTTTCGAGAAAATAATATTTATCTGAAACAATGCAGCGCACCGTACATCGTAACAGTAAGTGACGTCATCGCTTCTATCTTGAGCGAGATTTTCACTTGGATTTTTTCAAATATCTCGAGCGGCGTGTATGGTAGAAGAAAACCGTAAATACAAAAATTGTAGCCCCTCGATGCGGCCTATAACTCCGTTTAAATCAGTTGGTCATCTTTTTCAAGAATTTTGATTTACGGCTAAGAATGTATTTTGGAAATGGGCAATTTTCAGAGTCTTTAAGATTTTTGCCTATAATGAAAAAGCTATGCATATAATCGAAAAAATGGCTGAAATAAAAGTTATAGACCCGGATCTTGTGCGTCTTTTGGTTTAAGAATTTTGTCGATCAGGTGAAGCGTTTTCGCGAAATGAATTTTTTTATGCAGCCCAAAAAGACGACAAAAAATTTTTCGAAAATTTTTAAAAAATATTTGCCGATGTCCGATTGCGCCTAGCTTTAAGTATTTGGGTGCGGGGGTGGACTTTTATCACTCTGCCAAATTTGAAGTCGATAGCTGCAAATTTGGGGCACCTGTTGCATTTTTCAATAAAACGCAATATATCTCGAACACCCTGTACAATACGCGAAAACCTTAAATACAAGGGTTTTAGCTGTCTCTACGGCCTACACTGTCATGTAGAAAGAAGGTCTTACTGAGTAACAGTGTTTAACTTACAGTCAATTATCTTTGCGAGGGTAACTCGAGGATCAGTTTTTTGGAAATACCGGCACACCCTGTATATTTGCGAAAAATTATTAAGAATAAGGATTTATGGGTATCCACATTCTGCATCTTCTCGTTTGCGAATTGTTTCGATCCTCGAAACCGTTTTCGAGATATAGTCTTTTTTAATTTTTCAAAAAAACGTGGTTTTTGAATTTTTAAAAATACTTCCCAATCACCGATCCCTCTGAATTTCAATAGGTTCTGTTAGGGGCCCGGTCTCTACCCTCGTGGAAAATTTCAAGTCGATAGATTCAAATTTCGGACAGTTATCGTGTTTCATAGCGAAGCCGAAAAATCGAAACAAAAGTGATAAAAAATCGGGGTTGCCGTGGTCGGATCGGGCTCATATTTCGTTTTCAGAATACTGTTTTTTCAGGATAAAAGGGTCAAAATTTCAGCCCTCTAGCTCAAACGGTTGCCGAGTTATAGCGGTTTTAGCGGATACGGAGAACGGAGAACAGAGAAACGGACAAAAAAAAACGTTTTTTTTCGACCCTGAGTCGATCTGTACCCCAGCCACCTCCACTTACATATAATTAATTATTTGTTTTAAATTTGCAACCCCATACAAAAACCGTTCCCGACGACAAACGGTATAACTTGTGGGAATCTTTTTGGTATCCTTTTATAGAGAAAGAACCAAAGTATTTAACGTATAAATCTCAAATTCTCAAAATTATAAATAAATAAATAAATAATAATAATAATAAATAATAAATTTAATAATAAATAAAATAAATAAATAAATAAAAATAAAAATAAAAAAAATAAAAATAAAATAAATAAATAAAATAAATAAATAAAACATTCAAAATTGATCATTGATTTTAAAGCCGATTTTTCCATGTAAAATGAGGTTTCAAGGTTATTTCTCAATCTATATTGATCCGACAAAGTTGAAATTTTTATAGAAGATGCACATCAACGTAGTCTATTCGCACATACTACAATGTTAACCCCAACCCCCCATTTTCGGTTAATATTTTCAATTTATTATTTTCATATTTATCATGTTTTTTTTTTCAAAAATGTTAGATTTTTAATTTTTTAAAATATATGCGTTTCTCCGAGAAGATTGAAATTTTTACCGAAGTTAGAGGTCAGTGAGGTCTATTTGTAAATACCATAAAGTCTGCCTCCAGCCCCTCCTATCATTAGTTAATATTCTCAATTTATAATTTTCATGGATATCATGATATTCCTAAAAAATTCGGTTTTCGAGATATAGTCATTTTTTACTTTTCAAAAAAACGTGGTTTTTGAATTTTTAAAAATACTTCCCAATCACCGATCCCTCTCAATTTCAATAGGTTCCGTTAGGGGCCCGGTCTCTACCCTCGTGGAAAATTTCAAGTCGATAGATTCAAATTTCGGACAGTTATCGTGTTTCATAGCGAAGCCGAAAAATCGAAACAAAAGTGACAAAAAATCGGGGTTGCCGTGGTCGGATCGGGCTCATATTTCGTTTTTAGAATACTGTTTTTTCAGGATAAAAGGGTCAAAATTTCAGCCCTCTAGCTCAAACGGTTGCCGAGTTATAGCGGTTTTAGCGGATACGGAGAACGGAGAACAGAGAAACGGACAAAAAAAAACGTTTTTTTTCGACCCTGAGTCGATCTGTACCAACGGCGGTCCCCTAGTTCCAACCGTTACCGAGATCTGAAAAAAGTTGATTGGCGCGTATACTTTCGCAAAAAATGAATTTCATTCATTTTGCGAAAGTAACTAGGAATCATTTCTTTTCGCATTTGCTTTGAAACACCCTAGCTCTATATCAAATTTATCATTTTGGGATTTCGGTATGTTTAAGTGATTTTTTTTTAAGTAACCCCAAAAGACTAACTCGGGATTGAAGAACTAGATTGTGAGAAGTTAATTAGGCGAAAATCTAAATCAAAATTAATTTCCTAAATAAGTTAGGGTTATAAAATATACAGTACATCCCAAATTCTTCATTCTCTCCCTTTTTCTTGTTCAAGTATCTTTCTAATAATTAAAGATACATACTCTTAACTTGGGTGTTATTTTTTAGAAAAAAAAATATCGCAGAATTCATGTTTGGTTGTTTGGGTGTTATTGGACTTTTTAGAAAAAAATTATCGCAGAATTCATGTTTGGTTGTTTCCACAATACATCAGCAGATAATGCCTGAATGTTGCAAATAAACTATACTCTTAATTAGTTTTATTTACTACCATATGGTATAATTTGTTTTATTTACTACTATATTATTTACTTTTTATACAGTAAAACGTATAGAAACGAGGTTATTTTTTTATTAGAATAATAATAAATGATGTTAGGGTGCATAGAACTGTCAAGTATTAATTTCGAAACTTACAGCCAGCAAAACATACCATTGTAGGATTTTTACATTTCGAAATGTACAGCTTTTTGAAAGAGGCATTGTTATACAAAGGGTTGCTATTTACTTTGAATGATTTTTTCATTGACATACAATTCAACATTTCTCAGAAAAGATAATGTATAGGTGTAGGATATAATATATTCATTGTGTCAAGAGTGTTTCGAGTAATTCAAAAATTATATATAGAGTTCGATTTATAATAAAGGAGCTAATTGTTCGAGGAAAAACAAACACTTTGTAAGTAGAGAAATGCAAAATTGTAGTAATATTTTATGTTTTGTATAGGTTCTCCAAAGCGTTAAAAATAGAAAATCAATTATAGATACTCTCTCTCACTCTCTCTCTCTCTCTCTGTCTCTCTCTCTCTCTTCATGATCTTTGAGCATAGTTGATTTTTTTCGTCCGGTTTCTCCAATGCATTTTTTGTCACATATGCATGGAATGCTGTAAACTCCTGATATCTCACACGGAATTTTGTTTTTGACGGATCGAAGTTGTTGAGGGATTTTTGGACAAAAGTAGTTTTGACGTTGTATTTTTTAAGAATTTTTGATATGTGCTCAATGATGTTTTGAATGTAAGGAAGGACCCAATCTTGAAGTTAATAAGTATTTCTTTTCCTTCATTTCAGAAAACTTAATTAAGGGAAATTTCAACGTATTTGAATTCGGTGACACCTCACCAATGCTTCAATCCTTAATTTTGAATACCATGAGTACCGAATTTGCGAATCAATTTTTCGCACACCAAAAGGTGCAAAATCTGCTGAAATCCGAAGAACATTTTGACGTCGTCGTGATAGAACAATTTTTAAACGATGCCACGAAGATCTTTGCGCATCACTTTAAAGCGCCCTTAATAATTGCCAGCAGCCTAGGACCGAATATCTGGGTAAATGATTTGGTGGCAAATCCTGAACCACCCGCTTATGTGCCGAATGTATTTTTGAATTTTAATGACGAAATGGGTTTTACTGAACGACTTTACAATTTTCTGTTTGGAATTTTTTGCCAATTGAATACGCATTTTGTGGTTTATCCTACCCAAAGTAAAATACTGAAGAAATATTACCCCATCGGTCCAGATCTCGACGGCATTATCTATAATGTGTCACTGGTGTTCCTTAATTCGCACGAAAGTATCAATGAACCTGTACCGATAGTTCCAAATATGGTTCACATAGGAGGGTATCATGTAACTCCACCTAAAAAGCTACCGAAAGACTTACAACACTTCTTGGATAATTCAAAAGAAGGAGCGATATATTTTAGTTTGGGTTCCAATGTAATTCCATCCCAAATGCCTAACGCTACGAGAGATGCAATTTTGAAGGTTTTGGGATCGAGGAAAGAAAAAATTTTATGGAAATGGGATCAGGATTCATTACCTAATCAACCCCCAAATTTCAAGCTGTCCAAATGGTTTCCCCAGCAGGATTTACTAGGTGGGTAAACTTTAAACATATTAGTCGTAGCTATTGTCATCGTTTTTGAAGTATATGAAGCGATTCCTAAGAAATTAATTGCTTTTGTTATGTCAAATTGTTTATTACTGTGTGAATTCGTATATACAGAGCCGAAAATATGGGTCAGTCCGATAATGTGTGAACATATTCGGATATTCATTGTGCAATTTTTTTATTATAGTGCCCTGCTTCTAATATTGCGGGGAGCTGAACTTAATTTAAAAAGTAACATTTTCGTTTATAAGTCCCCCAGTTTTACACATATTTTGCTAAAACTTCGTATCTACAGGGTGTCCAAGTAATATACCTCATTTACTGTTTGTTTTAGAAAAAATATTAAATATAAAAGTCATAAATAAGACTAAAAAGAAGCAATTTAAAATGATTTTAAGATATATTTTTAAATAAAACGCCTTATATCTTAGTAGATACTTCTCTTTATACTTAAATCACCCAATGTAAGCGTTGTTATGGTCTAGACCGAGTATTTTCGGATTTGTGGCAATTTTTTAGCCAAAGATGCCATGCGTTTAACACTTTATATTTTTGACGCCATTTATACATTGTATAATTTGAGTCCAAATGAAAAATGTTAATTTTTGTGAAAAAAATCAAATGGAACATCTTTTATATTGCACTTCCATTATTTTATTCTATCATTGCTCTTTTATTAAGCGTTCCTTATAAGTAAACTTAGCATTTTGAGGTACACACGTGTTTACCAACAAAACTCCGAATATTCATCAAATTATGAGAAATATTATTTTGTGGAAAAAAAATGTTTCTTTTTTTTTCATTAATTTATAAATTCTGACTTTCTTAAAGCCTTGAACTATAAAATAATGTTTTGAGATTGCGTCTTCTAGTGCAAATGAAAGATATGTAAGTTGTTGCCTAGCCTAATTTTTGTATGGACCATGACAACTACACATTGAGTGATGGACTATAAAAGGCAGTATCTATTAATGCCACAATATACAGAGTGTTCCATTAACAAACTATATGAAGTTGATTCTACACATAGTTATGAATCACGCTGTATAATTGAAAATAATTTTAAATTGTTCTTTTTCATCAATCATCATCAATAACTATTATATTTAACATTTTTCTCTAAAACAAATAATAAACTAAGATATATTACTATTTGAACACCCTGTATAATTATACTTTGATAGGCAACACATTCAGTGTAAGGTTTGTCCTGTCCCTATTACCCCTCCCATATTTTCTCTATGCATGGTATGGTCTTAAGAGTTATTTCGATTAATAAACCTTTCAATATTTTTTTAAAAATATAAAAATATAATATAAAAAAGGCAGCGGTGCTGACATTTTATCGAGTGTAGATGAAAGTGATCAAGATATGATACGGCGTAAAATTTACCAGTTATACGAGGAACAAAGCGTGCCTACATTAGATATCTTAATTAGGAGGCTTGAAAAAGATGAAACCGGCGTTAACTGTGGCAGAACTGCCTTATGGAAGTGTATTCAACACATGGGTTTTAGATTTTAAAAAAATTACAAAAGGCAAGTTTTAATGGAATCTTTTAGAATTCGGAAATGGCTACTGGAATATCTAGAAAAAATTACAGAGAACAACAAAGGCCAATTATTTACTTGGATGAAACCTGGTTCGACACTTATGATATCCCGGAAAAGGGTTGGGTTGACTCAACTGATAAGTGTAAAACAAACGCGCCATCAAAAAGAGCTAAAAGAATAACTATTTTTCACGCTGGCTCTAAAGCGAAAAATATTAAAGATTACCATGAAGACACCACCGCTGATTTATTTGAAAGTTGGTTTAAAAATAAACTAGTTCCAAACATTCCTCCTAATAGCGTAATTGTCATGGACAATGCAAGTTATCACAGTAGACAGTTGACTAAAACCCCTTCCTCATACGACACAAAAACAACAATCCAAATCTACATGTATAATAACGACATTTATTTTCACGAAGATTATACCAAAAAACAATTAATTGAGGTTCTACAAAGCTTGAACCTACAAAAGGAATACGTCTGTGATAATTATGCAAAAATCTAGGGCATACAGTTTTAAGGCTTCCACCTTACCATTGTATATTTAATCCCATTGAACATGTTTGGCACCAACTGAAATCTGCCATTTTTCGTAACAATGTTTTTCCCCGTGTTAACTCCAATGTCCTCAAACTTATAGAAACCGAAGTTTTTAACACCCCTCCATAAAGTTGGGCAATTTCTGTTAAACATATAGAAAAAGCAGAACAATTGTATATCTATATTGCAAATAATATACAACAAATAATAATTATAACAAACGATGATAGAGATAGTGATACTGATATATTATGTGAATAATTTTAAGTAATTTAAGTAGGTAATAAAAATAATTTGTAATTTTAGTTTAGATTTAAACATAAATACATACATAAACAAATAAATATTGTTTAGTATCTTTCCTAGCAAAAGGAAAGTACGGACCTGTTCGGTCATATTTCATTCTTACAGCTTGCCCAATTCTTTCCTTAATTCGAATTAGTTAGTCACTTTCTTATATCTATGAACAGACTTTATCTGGTTTGAATTTTCGGCAGTTTAGATACCACTCCTATAGACGACATTATGAAAAGTTCCTTTCAGCGCATCCGAATATTAAACTGTTCATCACTCATTGCGGTCTACTAAGCACCACGGAGACGATTTACCATGGAGTACCAATCCTCGGATTTCCCGTTTTCGGAGACCAAAAGTTGAATGCTGCGCGCGCTGCCACTCTCGGGATAGGAAAATTCATCGATTTTTCTAAAATAAATGAAAATAATTTGGAGGAAGCTCTAAACGAAGTATTGGATAATCCTAAGTAAGTAGAACAATTTCAAAGTCACGATGAGGTTGGAATTTTTCAAGGATTTCAGGCTTACGACACTTTGCGAAGTATTTTTTTTTGGGAGCAATTATGATACTTCTACGTTATATTTTGATCTTCAATTGTGGCGACTGTACAGAAAAGAAGGGTCTCTATTTCCTATCGAAACACTGAGTTTGAGACATTATTCGAGCAAATTCTTCTGAGGTATCCAAAGGCACACTTGGCCGTTGTGGTTTCTAATATCAATTTGTTGCATGAAAACAGTGACGTCACTAAATACAAAATTTAATTACAATAAATAAATTTAAAGTTCATAACAATATAAGTTAATCTTAACTAAAAATTCAGCATTTTAAGAATCAGTCAGGAAGTGCAGGCAATAACGTCAAAAAATAATGAATTTTTATTTATAACTTCCTTCAAGATAAAACCAACGAAAGTCGGAGTAGTAGTATTACCTTAATGACCATTTAGCCGCCATCGGCGTTTGTGACTTGGAAAATTACAAAAGAAGTCAGCGCCAGGCGGAATACCTTGGAAACTATTTAAAGAATACAGGAAAAATTATAAAATCAGTAGTTAAAAATAGTATATTATGCAACAAGTGCGGTAAATGGCATTTGACTCACGAGGTTATTTGACACGAGCGGAGCGAGAGTTTAATAAACGAGTGGCATAAAAAGTTTACTTTTTCTACGACCGTTACTTTTTGAGTACATATTTGCAAAACAACACAACTCTGACATGACCGTCAGAGTTGACAAACGTCAAAATTTAAGGCGTGGGAAATATTTCCGAAAACATCCGATTGCTCCCAAACTCGTGCGGTAAGATCCCGAAAATGTCCGAAGTGGTTCGGATTCGTGGGACACAAAACTGACGTGGTAAAGTGACGCTTCCCGCACGCTAGATCGGTGTATGATTAGTCATTTTACAGATGAGAGTAGAAAAAAAAATTCCTATGGCATTCCCCAGTGATCCGTTTTAAGGCCCATATTATTCCTTCTTCACATAAAGAATTTACCATATAAATAAGTCAGGTACGATTCTCGGTGTTGGCAAGTTATTCTATACGGCGATGATTATGGGTATGACCTTAAAATCAAAGTAGATAAGGACTTCAGTAAACACTTGAGCTGGTTTAAACAGATTTCACTTGCGGTGAATGAACAAAAAAACGGTTTTTGTGCCATTTACGTGATAGGTTGATAGGACCTTTTTTGTCGATTGTATATATGGAGTATCGAAGTCCTTTCACATTTATATTAAGATATTTTTCTTACTTCTCGGATTTTGACATTTTCAAATTTTTCCCACTCCGATAGAACGCACCCACATTCTAAGTCAGTTTCCTCGTTTTGATCAGGAATGTAATCAATATCCGATCCTGTAGATCCATCATCAATACTATTATCTGGTGTATCATACTGTGTCGAAGTAACTGTGGAAGTAGAGACCACAGACTCTTCTAGTTCGTCACAGAAAATCTCCCTTCTTGCATTATTATTTTGATATCTGGTTTGCCTTTTTTTTACGGTTGATGATACCTGGTTATTTTGTGTTTGAAATAATTTATTGTGTTTTGGTTAGTTCTGACCACCATCTTCCAAGAAGAAATATATGCGATTTGGTCCTGTGCCAGACATGTTGTCGGCCTAAATTACAGGAACAAATATTTATATATCTGTTGCGACAGCCGCGTAGCACTCAGGTCGCTCTTGTCAGTCGAAATCGCCTCAAGGATCATCCGAGATGAGATGCTTGACAGGCTTGCTAAGGCAAATCAAGTCACACTTGTCTGGGTCCTAGGACACTGTGGAATCCTAGGGAACCAGGCGACAGATAGCCTAGCAAAAAGTGGAGCTTGTCACACAAGTACGCGACCTATCTGTCCTACCCCAGTACCCGAAGGCTTCATTAAAAGTCTATTTAACCAGAGATATAACAATAGATTTCTCGATATGTGGCTTGAAGCTGAAGGTATTGAGACACACTAAAGCCCTAAGGGCCCTAAGGGGCCGTCCAGGACTCTTGACTCCAGCCTTGTCGGGCTCAACAGGAATCAGCTGAGGCTGACTATTGGGCTGATAACTGGACACTGGTCAACAAGAAAGCAACTTAGGAACATTTTCATCATACAAAATGTATTATGTCCAAGGTGAATCACTCGCGATTCGCTATGCCTCGGCAGCCGATTTCCTCTACACTCTCTCATAACTCATGAATTGTCCTTCACAAATGAATTCAAATTCCAAACAGCAAAGTTAATTTTTATGTATAATTGGAGTTTTCTGAATTTACTTTAATTTATATTGGTTATACCGTATCTTTGGGGTCAAGAAAATTTAAGAGTCCAATAGCAAATTGTAAGAGATAATGCGAAATATACTCTACAATTTCGCTTTTAAAAAAGTACTCACAGCAAAAGAGACAAGGATAATTATAGACTAACCTCAGTACTTTTTTCTAAAATCATGGAAAAATTTACGAAAATGAACTTCTTAAAATACATTACAAACACAGTTCAAGTGGACAAATTCCAGTCAGTTTGTCGAACTTAATAGGTTATACACGGTTAAATTTCTCAGGAGTGCCCCAAGGTTCAGTCTTGGGGCTTCTGTTTATTTGGCGTTAACTGTACATGACAAGTTATGACGCTGCAATATTTAAATGTAGACGTTATTTATCGAAAAAAAAAACGAAACCCGCAATCTATAATGGTTTTTTATTTTGTATATTTATTTTCTATATGGAGAACTTGTAGGAAAACAAATTACCAAATTATGCAAATGTTGCAAAACAAATTGGAAAAATTATTATAAGACCAACTAACTCGACAACTACATATCTTTAAGTTGAGTTTAGTTCTGCAAATCGAACAATGCAAATTAGCGTATCAACAATTTTATCTAATCAAATGCATAACAATGACACGAAAATTGTAAACAATATAGAGTGAACGATTATAAATGTGGAACAAATTCATTTAAAAATCAGGCATTGGATTCCAAGGAAAATGCTCGTACACGTTCATCATATTTCTTTATTCCGCATCTCTCGCAATAAATTGAAAATATATGAGTGGGTGAAAAAGTAGATGCCCTTACCAAGTTCTTTTCGATTTCTGCTTTTTGAAATTTGAAATGAACAGGTGGGAAAGAAATTTCGTGAATTCCATGAAGATTTTGATTTAAGAAATAAGGTGCAATTATTTTGTTATTAAAAAATCCTCGCCTAAACATTTTTGTAGACGTTTTTACGATTTTCTGTCTTTCATCGGAGATTATTCGTACTCCAATACCTACAATTTTCTTTATTTACCGTACCATTTTAAAACAAGTTGGCTTCATCACTAAACAGTATCTGACGATGAAAAAATTGATTTAAGTTGCACATTTCCATCATAGTTTCGCAAATCAAACACAAAAGAGACTTAAGCTCTAAAAAAGCCTACAGGATGATTGCATAAAATGTAAGAGATAGCTGTAGGGTATGCTACATGAATTGGGCATGAAATTTAACAAAAAAATCGAAAATGAATTTAAAAAAATCATTTTCCTTTAAAAAAAAGGAACTTGGTATCGATGTCTACTTTAGACTCACCCTATATATTTTCTGGTCACTGCAAAAAATCGGCAAAGTAGATAGGCCATGACAGTTCAAGAATAAATTTTCTCATTTTTACTCCTCTTAGCATCAACCTACCTAAAAAAGAGAGGGTGAGGGTAGGTAGGTTGGTGCTAAGAGAAGTTGTGGATCGAATGACCTTGACCGGACCAATTTTCGCTAATATGAACCTTAAATTTTCTTATGGAAATTTACATGTAAAAATGAAAAAAAAATTCTTGAACTGTTATAGCCTATCTACATGACTTGTGCGATCATTTTTTTTGAAATTCAATACCACATTTTGAAATGAATTTGTTCCATATTTTAGCCGTTCATTGCATATATTTTGTTAAATAAAGATTATATGCAGTCTATACAAACCTAAATTGATTGCCAACATTTCGTTTCAGATACTTGCAGAACGCAAAATATAGATCCCAGCTAATGCACGACCGTCCAGTTAAACCTATGGACTTGGCCGCATACTGGGTCGATTACGTCATAAGGCACAAGGGGGCGCCACATCTGCGGGTTGCGGGAGTCAAGTTACCATTGTACAAATATTTGATGCTAGACGTTCTCGCAGCAATATTTGCTAGTATTTTTACGCTTTTTTATTTGGTTTACAGAATTGTGAAATACTGTAGGGCTCCAAGCGTAAAAGAGAAGCAACATTAAGTTCCAAAGGAATAACTTTCACGCTTGCTTTGTGATATTGAAATGATATATTGAGCTGTATTATTTTGCGTTAGACGTAGCGCTCTAAAAAGGATTTATTAACTTATTAAATAGCAAAATTATATAATTGTTATTATTTTTTAGTTCCTCGATGGTTATTTATTACATATATACATAGTTCCCCACTGTGACCGTCCATCAGAAATATTAGGCTACACAAAGTATATGATGTTTTGAACCTGCAGGGGTTAACGGAAGAATTTTTGCAGTATTATCTTTTTTTCTCCTAATTTCAAAAATATATTTGGAAAAACCGTTCTTGAATTGTTTCAATTTAAATTTTTAATTAATTAAACAGATTTTGATCGAGTTGGCTAGGTGTTCAGTGTGACTTTACTTTAAATCGAAACATTCAGTTAGGAAAATGAGTTACTCAGAGGAAGAAAAGCGTTAAGTAGTTCGTCTTTTTTCAGTCCATCGGCAAAATTGTGAGCTGACACAATCAGACGCATTATCCGGCAATTTAATGAAACGAAAAATCTCATTCGAAAAGAGAGAACCTTTGTTGAAATGAAGATTACGATAGGGATATTTGACTCTCTTTTGAAGGCAGCTAGCTATACTTCTATGAATAATAATTAAGAATAAATTTAATTTCATATAACTTTTTAGAAAATCTCGAAAGTTAAATCTCAATTGTTGACACGCACAGGTGGGAACGTCATATTGCAAAATAAAGTTTCACTTTAAGATATTTTATAATATAACCCTTTGAAATTTATTCCAGCTCAATGTGATTTGTTATAAAATGAGAGATAATATTAAAAAATATTTGGGAAATTCATAGTGGATATATAGAATACGCGTAGCCTTCTTCCTCACGTTATATTTTCATTATTGTTCACTTAATTGTGTTTATTATGGATTTTATTGTTATTGAAATAAAAAAGACGAACTACTTGAAGCTTTCTTTATATCAACAATCTATATATTTCTTGAAATCAAGAAATAATATCTTTCATCATAATAGAAAATATATAAAGCGTTCCATTTAAAAATAAAAAACTACTGTTTCTCAATTTTGATATGCGATTTTTTCTTTTAGAAATTTAAAAGGTAGCTACGTAAATATAAAAAAATAACCGTGTACAGTTTAAAAATATTTTCGCATTTGCAATTTAAATTTGAAATGGGACATATAGTGCCTTATTGAATTTTCGAATTGATACAACTTTTACTAATTGTTCTTACACTTATCTGAAATCTTATTCGCAAAAAAAAGATAAAAAAAACGCTTGGATAATTATTCAACTAAAATTTTTACAGATGATAGTTCTGAATACTTAAAAGCTGTGCATATAATGAATGAATTACATCACTTGACTAGGACAACATATTATCTACGTGTTCTTATATCTCTCTCTTACGGTTTTTTCGAAAATGAAAAATACTCTCTATTGTCGTAGGGCACCTATTACGTGTTAGACGGGCTATTGAAGATTACACGAGGTTGGCGATGGCGGGTTTTTATTTTAAGTCACAATGCAGAAACGTATTGTCAAGTGTCAAACAATTCAAGTTCTTTGACGAAAATTGACAAGAAAATGTGCCTGGAGTTTGACTGACGTTAAGTTTGCAAAGTGAAACTAGGCAAAGTAATCCCTATTCTTCTGCTGAAATTTTTAATTTATTCGCAATGCATGGGGAGTGCAGCAGAGTTGTTAGTAGAACTTGCAGGTTGTTCAGTCAAACTTGCCTCCTATGAACCGCATGATACAAAGGTTGCCGATTTAAATTCACGACGTCAAGCGGATCTCAAAATATGAATTTTCCGCGAAGTATTTATGATATTTGTTTACAATGCAAATGCTAAAGGTTGTTAATTATAATTGTTTAGGCTAAAATGCAAGTTGCTAATATATTTGTCGAAACCAAATATGCAGAAAGAAATAAAAAAAAATAGTTACGTTTTGCTTTTGAAAATGTATTTTAAGATTAACAAGTTAATGTAAAAATAGACGCGAAGTTAGCACTTATCAAAGTAAGTTTTTTGGAGTAGGTATTTAAAATGAAGTTTTAATATTATAATAATGGATTAGGGATCATTTTATTAACGATATACAGTTTGAAGAGGGAATAAAGTGGGAATTATGAACAAGAGTCTTACAGTAAAGACATTTTTTTTGCTAGAATAGAGAGTTTATGGGCTAAAATGAATCTTATCTGCAAAGAGGAAATGCAGATGTTTGCAATATACCATGATATACCACAAACAAGTCTCTTTTGTTTTTGATTTGCGAAACTATGATGGAAACGTGCAACTTAAATCAATTTTTTCATCGTCAGATACTGTTTAGTGATGAAGCCAACTTGTGTTAAAATGGTACGGAACCTTAAAGAAAATTATAGGTATTGGAGTACAAATAATCTTCGATTAATGAAAATAGTATAAAAATGTTTGGGCGAGAATTTTTCAATAACAAAATAATTGCACCTTATTTCTTAAATCAATCAGGATAGTTTGCGCCCCATTTTGCTTGACACGAGTATGAATATTTTAGGGTATTTGGTATTTACCGGAGAGTGGATTAATTAAGGAGATTAATAGAATGAGCTGCAAAATCTCCAGATATTACTCTACTGTTTCTTTTCCCTTAAGGAGATTTAAAATCAAAAGTGTATACAGAGAAACTATAAAATTTAGTTGATTTGGAAAATTTAATTGTACCTGCTCATTTCAAAATTACATTTGTGTTTTTCATATTTTAGAGAGATGTCAGGAATATTTAGAAGGAAGCCATCCACAGTTTTGATGGACGGGAACAACAAACTGATACTCAAAGAAGAGCAGAACCAAAGGGCCTGGGAAAACTACGTGGAAGAATTGTTTAAAGATGAAAGACCTGACGAACTCGCAATACCCAATGCACAAGCTATCACGTGCTATCAATATCGGAAAAAATAACAAAGCAATTGGAACTGACAACGTACCGATTGAGCTAACAGCTCCTCGATGACCTAATCTACACGAGTGGAAATGTACCTGATGAATAGCTGAAATCTTCCTTCATCTCAATCCCAAAAAAATAACATCCACAAAAGTGTGAAGATTACGGATCAATTAATGCCAGGAAAAGAGCTAAATGTGTGTTCTACTTTGATCAGACGCAGTTTGGTTTCAGGCACGGATTTGGGACTAGGAAAGCCCTGTTCTTCTTGACCGTATTGTTGCAAAATGCCTTCGATTGCGTACAGCATACGAAACTCATGGAAGCGCTACAAACCGAATTGAGAATGCTCGTTCCAGTTTCTCTTCTATGAGGTCAGTGTTCTGCAATAACAGTTTGAATATGGCTCTTCGACAGCGAATGGTTAAATACGATGTATGGTTCATCATTCTTTACGGAGCCGGGTCTTGGACACTGAAAACCAACACATTAAACCGTCTGAGATGTGGATACTTCGGCCAATCCTAAAAATTTCGTGGACTGCAAGAGTGCCCAACCAAAAGTCCTGAGAAAAGCAAAGACACATCGAGAGCTCGTCACAACTATCAAGCGAAGGAAAACAGCATATCTATAGCATATAGGTTAAGGGTAGAAGAGGAGTTGGTAAGAAGCAGATATCCTGGCTACGTAACATACGCGACTGGACTGGATACCGGGCCGTAGGAGAACTTTTTGAAATGGCTGGAGAGATGCTTTCTCCCAAATGGTTGCCAGTGTCAGATAACTGATAGGGCACTCAAAGAAGAAGGATTGTTCGATAGAATATCTTTTATGCAAGGTTCCTCTTTAAAAAAATATTGTTCTTGAGAATTTATTTTAAAGTTATTATGATTGTAAGTTAAATAAAGAGACAACTTGTTGTTTGTTCTGTCAGCAACAAGTATTCTGCCGATGAGGATATGTGATGAATGAAATCAGAACAAATGTTCCCATAAGCTGAACTTGGTGCAATAGCAATGTTTCCCTCAAACAATTTGAATCTCATTTTTTCGGGTAGAATAGGTTTATGGTCTATTAGACGCCAATTTTCTGGACAATGAATGATTTCAAAAAAAGTTTTACTTGCAACGGCCAATGAAATTTGGTATCAGAAGAATTGAGAATTTGAATTTGTGAGTGTGTGAAAAATAGGCCCAGTATTTTACGAATGTTGAGAGATATTTAAATTTGACGGAGAACTTTATATTTCTATTAATTGATAATCTGATGGTTTTCAATTCGATAGTGCGTCATATCATGCCGTAGTGCCTCTTAGAAATTGTTTAAATCAACGTTGTCCATTTTTGGATTGGTCGGTATATAGCGCGAGCATTGAAGATGCCAAGTGAGATTTTGGCGAAACGTCTGCAGGATTCCAGTCGGATGCAAGATTTGCAGGATTCCAGTCGGATGCAGGATTCCAGTCGGAGTTCAACGAGCGAACGGATGATATCCCGGAATATAGTGTCATCACATTTTTCCATCCGTGAATCAATACGTGAGAATATATATATATATATATATATATATATATATATATATATATATATATATATATATATATATATATATATATATATATATATATATATATATATATATGATGACACTATATTCCGGGATATCATCCGTTGGCTCGTTGAACTCCGACTGGAATCCTGCATCCGACTGGAATCTGTACGCGCTGCACACTCTCAGTGATAGCTTTCTTTGTAGTGTTGATAACACAGCTATTAGTCTCTTATTCTCGGTAATCTTGCTCCAGATGGGGCCCCATACAGTATCTGAGAGTGTACCACGCTCGCTAGAAGTCTCCGTTTGGAAGATCTTGGTCCACCTATGTTTGGCATTAGACACAACAGCACAGAAGTCGTTTTTTCTGCCTTTTGCACAGTTCGCTTTACGTGCTCAGCGAAACTTAGCTTTCTGTCAAGCCACACTCCCAAGTATTTAACAGCATCACTCAAGCCAATCTCACTACCCATAACATCGAAAACAACGTGGCCTATCTTCCGTTTTGTGGTTAGCAACACTGCTTTGGTTTTCTCCGGCGCTAGGGCCGACCGTCTCTGCTCAAGCCATCGCGCAACTCTCTGTAGCGCCGTGTTTGCGTTGCACATCAGGAGCTCCTCGTTCTTTGCTACCACAATCATGCCGATGTCATCGGCAAACCCTATTAGTGTCACTCCGTTTGGCATCTCCAACGCAAAAAGC